TCTTTTGCTTCAGTATTTAAAACCGGTATACAAGCCCATCCTTTTAAGAATAAAACAATAAAGATATTAATTTATATTAGAAACGCAGGCAGATAAAATAGATATCGTGTTAGAAAGCTTCCCTAACATAGAGAGACCTCAGAATGACATTTATTAGTGCAGGTGGACAGGACAGTGACAAATGAACAAGAGATGATCTTCCTCCACTTTCTTCTGATCATTTAAAATGAATAATGAGAGTATTTAAATGAACCTAAACAATAGCATAGAACAGGTTGTTATTGTATGTAAGAAAATTAAAACATGTAGGTATATCAGTAGGATGTTTACTTTATCTCCTGTTTATTAAAAACACCTAGATAAGTAAGTTAGTCTGTTGTTGAGCTTATCTTATGTTGACATTGATAACAGGTAGGTATTTTAACATCTGATTATGAATATTTTATATATATATTTTTCAAGTGATATGTAAATCATTTTGTTTTGGTCTGGAACAACCTGGGGATTGTAGCATATTTATTTTAATCATATTACATGTTGATAACCCAAATTTTATGGAAATAGAAAAATCCTTAACATGTGGGTTGATTTAAATATTTTGAAAAAAAAATTGATCTTTACCCAGTTAACTATATATATATTTTCTTGCATATGGCTTTTAGTCTGAAGTATTTAAGAATTTGGACACAGATATTTTCATGTGTGTTACAATTCTTACAATTATGATATTCAAATTTTAATATCTTTTAAACTGTTTTCATTTTCAAAACATTATTTGTATGATATATTTAAAAGGATTGGATTTGGGTTTAGTTATTTATGTTGGCAAGAAAGAAAGTTTTTCTTTCTGTTTATCCTAAGTCTCAGTAAGTTCTTAAGTAGTCTATTTAATGCTAAATTTTAGAAAAGCACTCATGTATGAATAGGGGTCATTCTTATGGCCGCCATGATTTTATTCAATCAGGCTATTGTATGGTGATTGAATTAAAATCTGGTCATATAGAGTGCTCCCTTAGATGTCACGGAGAGTACTTCTAGGGACCATGTTTAATCAATCAAGATATATTCAAGTATGTAAACTATCCTGTTTGGGCTGTATTCAGAATCCCAACTTACCTTTACCTACTACTTTATAGATTATTCTCAAAGTTCTAGTTATCTATGAAAAGAAGTGTGTTTGCCTAAAGGTGTGTCAGTGTGCTATAAGTTTGCAGTTCAGCTTTCGTGTCGGATATAGTCTGTATTTTATTAATATTGTGGATATTGTGATTTCTGGATATAAATTCCCCTCTATGTTGGATACATGTATTACAACGGTCCACAACGACGACCATGGATTCGGTAGGTGGTATTACTTAAAGAAATACTGAAAGCATGTGGAATGGTGCTATTTCGGATGTCTCGTTGAATTGCCACCATAATTTAATATCCACATGGGGATATTTTCTCTTATGTATTTGCACTTTTGGGGGGCGGGGGCGGATGTAATATTTATTTTGGGTGGACTCTGTACACATCTGAAAACAATGTAAAATAAACGACTGATATATCCTTTGATTTGTTTACTGGTCTAAAATCATTCCGTCAAATTTTAGCATGACCATCAAAAATGGCTTGATAGTTGTGAGTAAATTCTGTCGACTAATGAAGTTTTAGGAGGGTAGTGATCATCAAGACTGCTTTGACCAGGAAGGAATATTTCTTTATTTGGCTTTCTATTCCAGCCAGAGTAGCCTCTTTCCAACTCAACATCCCCAAGAAAAATGTTATATTAACATTAACAATGAAGATTGGTCAGTTTTGAGTGATTCCATTTTAGGTGCTCTCCATATTTAAAATTTCAAGTTTTGTGTCTATAAACAGACAGAATTCAGACATTCTCTTGGGCAACCCCTTTATTCTGGCGGGGGGTGGGGGGGGGATCATCTCAATGGTTTGACACATGTGCTTTAGATCATGAGTCTGTCATTAAGTGATTGCCCGCTTGTACGTGACAAGGAGTAGGTTGCCTGTCCAGCCTCAAGGTTTTTCTCCAGGTATCTGGTTTCCTCCCGCTGTTGAAGACCCCTACATGCAAGCAATTATTGAAATATAAGTTAATCCCGAAATGACCTAGTTTGTGTCAAGTGGACTTTACGCCCATTTCTCTCTCTCTTTATTAAACAGACTTTGGTTTGAAACAATTAAATGGTTTAGGTGGTATTAGAAGTTGAATGATGGAGGATTATTGTTGGATATTTAACTGGGGTTTTATTATTTGAAGGTAAATAGATATGGCTGAAATCAGTTGAGGTGCATGTTTATGAAGAAATCCAATAATATGCACAAATGAAGAATGTCAAAACCCAGTGTTACACTTTTAAATCTCTTGATCAGACTGGATTGCAATGTATTTATTTGATGGTGACATTAAATAAGTTTTATCCAAGTACATCTGTGAATTCTGTATAACATGTACAGTTGATTTTATGTCTTATTCTAATAATGCTCTATTTGATGACCGATAGAATAAATATGAAGGACTGTTTATCTATTCATTATTTGTACTGTTTCTATAGATACCTGCATATGGTATTAAATAAAAGCCTATTCTATTACATGTCTGTGTAAACATTGCCATTTTTATTGTGAATATTATATCTAGTCAACATTAAAATCACGAACTAGAATTTAATAAGGTATATTTAAATAAGAGCAACAATCATAAAATAACAGTGACAGATGAAATGAGTTAACTTTGATCTCGGCATAACGCAAAAGTTTGTGCCCAGTAATCAAACAGGAACTGACATTCTATTGGGAAAATGCCACTACTTTTGTAATTCTTTACTGCCTGAATATTATTTCTAACATTGAAAGAGATACAAAAGAATCTAGCTCCTCTGAAATTTAGACACTGAGTTCTTTCAATTCAATTACATCAGAAAGTACCTTCTGTGAGGTCAAGAATGATACACAAATATTAGTACATGTATATGGCCAGCATGTGTAATAAGTTTATTTAGGGGGGTTGGTATAGCCTAGTGGGCTAGAATGTCGTGCTTCAAGCTCTAGCAGACTGGTCACCTCCGGGTTGCGGTCGTGATTTCGATCTCAGTGAGCATATGTGGCTTGGAGATGAGGCACCTTCTCAACCTTATGGGTTTACTCCGGGTATTCTGGTTTCTTTTAACAACAAAGACCCCTGCATGTGTGCTAAGATAATAAAAATAAGACAACTTGTCTGCAAAATCACCCTCGGTGGAAGCAATATCACCAAGAACAGCAAGTTTATTTAATGTTTGCTTCCACGCTTCAGCGACTTAAACTGATTAGCAGATTTAACAAATTGACATACAGTAGTAAGTGACAGGACGAGTTGAGCCATTTAGACTTAGAAATAAATGCATCCACAATACACAGATTGGTTAGTGATTAACAAGTAAAAGTTCTTTACCATTCAATCACAATGATCTTCCATAATACTTGTGTTGTCACTTCTCTGCTAATCATCTCTTCTGTCATGAGATAGAACATATAAAACCTAGGCACTCAAAAAACAAACATTTGTTTAAAAATAATTTAATATTTAAATTTGCATAGATACCATTACTTTCATCGCACTGTCTTTGATATTGGTGTTTACAGAGAGATGGATTGAGCGGTGGACAGATTCAAAAGTCTAGCTATTGCTACTGACATAATATAGGGGATGATCATTCCTGTCAAACAGTAGCTGCTAGATTTTAGCTAAGACAAGGTCAATCCCTTTGATTTCATTGCTGACTGTAATACTGGGGCAACCTGTATTACATAGAATGATAATACTCAACAATCTAGTTGTATTATTTGATGTGTTGATCAAAAGCATTCAGATGTCTCTCTTCATCTGGAGCATGATAATATTGGAATCAGACAGGCCACAGCCAACAGTATATTATGTTTTGGTACCTAATAGTAATATAAGAACTTCTAAGATTTAGATGTTGTGCAGAATGGCAATATTGTATGCTGGTATAATGATAATCATGTGGCTGACAATTTTCCAGCCAGAATCTAATTATTTACACAGACACCACTCCTAGTGGTTAACATTTAATCTTTGTAGTAGTTTTCCAATTACATAATACAGATATAGTTTTATTTTAAAACTTTAAGAATAAATCGATGCTGCCCAGCACAATCCATTATTCAAGCAACAGCATTCCTTTCTGTGCCTTTCACATTAAATCCAAATGTAGATTTATTGTCAAGACTAAAGTTTAATGTATTGTTCTAAAGTTGTCATAGCTTTTAAAATAATCTGTGATTTGTGATATATTTCAAGGATACAGATATTTTACTGAATATGATTATAACATGGCATCAAAGATTATGGTTACAATTTACACCTACATACAAATATGAAGATACATTTATTATTTAAGTCCCCTACAAGCCAGAATAATTGTTTAAGACAATCAAAAGTACTTCTATTCAAAAATATTTTGATCCAAAAATTATTAAATTCAATGAATTCTAACTTTCGACTATTTATGGTTAACATTGGTTTCTATTGATTTCAAAATTTTGTCATCTTTATGTGTCTTTTACAGATAAAGTAATAATAATTCTCTTTTCCGTACAAGATCGCCTGTTCAATGTGAAGTTTAACTTTGATAAGGTCTTGTATGGAATCAATGGCAGATCATTGCCACATATATCCCTAATATACTTTTACTAATGGTAGATTTCTACTGCCCAGATTATTCAACTGAAATAAGCTATTTTGATTCATTCATGGGATATACTTGTTCAACAGCATTAAAGGGCTAGTGTTAAGTTCGGCTTTGGTTATAAAAATCAATTATACATCAGATTTCTGGTGGCGAAAACTGGAGATTAACTGAATCTTGGAACAATTATACTAGAGGGACCAAAATAAATCCTCCGTTAAAATACCATATTATCTGAAAAATAAGTTTTTCTTCAGTGTTTTATAGATCATTTATAATGTTTTGTTGTTATCTTATTTGTTTCAGTCACAAAATACAGCAGCCACCTATACATCCCCAACCCTCCAGTAGAGACATGTATGAATTCAATGGTATGAAGGAATTTTTAAGTAAGTCCTTACTTTACTTTTGGCAACCAACACTAATTATTTAGGTCATGAGGCTATATTTATTTACTATTACAAACAAAATGTCTTCCTTATTTCCTTATAAGTATGTAGTTGAATTACAGGTATTACCATGGTTTTTTTTTATTCATGGGAAATAGTCTGTGAATGTTGCAGAGTATGACAGAACAAGTATGTTGGGTTAAATGATATTTTTCAAAATATTAGGGAATAAAACAATATTTAGCATATTTTAATGATACCTTTGTAAAAACTGAATGGAATTGTACCATTTTTGGACTCATATTTCTTTAAGGGATTAAACTTTCAAAATATTGTAGTTTACAAGGGTTACATTCCTCAAGACCGGTTGCATTATTTTTATTAAGTCTTTCTTGTAAATCTTTCATTATGTTATTCATTTTGAGTGAAGTCTGTATTATTTTGATTACATATCCTTTCACTTGATCTGATATTTTCTGTTAATTTCTTGCAATGTCTTTGTAGTTTGTCTTGTCTGCAGGTTTGTCTTATCGGTTCTGTTTGCATGTAGTACTGTCCTCCTGCACTAATGTTCAGAGACTTTAATTATGCATTCAGCACACATTAGCAGACTCCGATACCCTACATCTAACCTCGGCTGTATGACGAATTCCGCCTTTGGAACTACTTTCAAGTTCCTGGATTAAAAATGGCACCGCCCATGAAGACTGCTGTGAAGTCAACTCGACACAAACTAGGTCATTTCATGAGTAACATATGGTTCAATTTTATTTCCATAATTCGCATGCGCGTAGGGGTCTTTAGCAGTGGGAGGAAACCGGAGGGCCCAGAGAAGACCCACGAGGTTGGACAGGCGACACTACTCCTTGTCACGTACAACTGGGGAATCGAAACCATGACAGACTTTATAATACAGCGCGCACATGCTAACCATTCAGCCATCGACCCCCCGTTTTTTCTCAAGAAACTGTATACGTCAATAAAAGCTTTCAATGTTGGAAGCTGTTTTTCTTTCAAATTTATCCGATTTTCTTTAAATAAAGGACAACTTTGCAATGAAAACTCTACACACTCTTTGAGCGACACCATTTTGAGAACTTCTTTCTAAAAGTGGCAAGTTTTCCTAATAAGTAAACTGGTAGCCACATCACAATTGTATGGGTGTAGCTACATATCACTTACCGTCATACAGCCAAGGTTAGATGTAGGGTACCGTAGTCTGCCGAGGTTTGCTGAATATTTGATTACGTAGGGTTACCTAGGAAATAAAGTTGCTTTGTTGAAACCCTCCATGCAAACCTGTAACTCAATAGTTATAGCTGACTTTGAATGAATTGTTTTATTTTTTTTTATTTAAGTATAGACATTTGAGTTTTCCTGGTGTGTTAGTAAGGTCATATACCCAAAACCTCACACGTTAAACATAAAACTCAGAAGTCGTTTATTAAATTTACAGTTGGTGACGTACTTGAAACATTGATATAACTAGAAGGGAAAAAAAGTACAGATTTATTTGTTGACTGCCAAGAAAAAGTTTCTTCAAACTAGAGTTATCATTATGACTATTAATGTTTACTGATGATGAACTGATTTTCGACGGTTTAAGAGCACCAGTCACATTGAGTTTGTTCAGAAAAAATAAGCTAGCTGTTCGCTAGACATGGTAAACAAATAAGGAGTGCCACCAGTGGGACTTGAAACAATATTCTTCTCTAAGTTTGCAAACAGCCTAAAAACGCGTTCTGTCTGAAATAGGCATATTTGAGTCTCAAATCTGCTACATGGCACCTACACCTAGCAGTTCACACCTGCACAATGGAAACTTTCTCTCTATGCCATTTGGATTGAACTTAAAGCAATCATGTGGAATTATTGAAACTGCTCAATAATATTTATTTATTGGGTAGATTTGTCTGTGGGCCTATAATTTGGATGAATTTGTCATTTTGATGGCTACATGGCCAGTTGTTCAACACAGTAGGTCACGACTTCTCTTGATTGATTAATAAATAAAAATAGTTACACTTAACAAAAAAACTGTAGGAAATGATACTATAAATAGACAAAGCTGTCATTTGGCTTTCGCAAGACATGGAGGTGAAAAGATTATTAAATTGATCAAGATCTAGTTGGATAAATATACAGTGAAACTATTTAATTGTTATCAAACTCATTTGCCTAATTATCATCCTTGATGTATATTTTAATTGCCAATAATTTTCTTTTATCGCAATTGTCGTCTAGGTGACAAGGTAGGGCAGTCACTTGTAATATACATATTTGTGCAATGAATTCCCAATTTAGTAAAGTAAAAAAAATGGTATGATTCATGCCCTGAGGCTAGCCATAAAATTTATATCTACAAGTTATATAAATGTATTATCTAGTCTTAACAATAATAAAGAGACTACCTGTTGTTAATGGTTCTCAGGGTGGAGAAATAGTTTTATATTAGGGTGTCTGTATTCTGTACTATAATTAACACACCATTGTTTGTATTAAACCCTTCCAGCTGAAAATCTTTATAATCTTAAAGCAACTATTGAGGATAATGTGGGGCACTTGCTATTGTTTTAGTCAATGAAAAGTAATCACTTTTTAATACAGGTGTTTATTTTGGCCTGGGTTGTAAAAACTCATTCATTGAGTGAACAAGGTCTTTGAGGTGAATGGTGTGGTTAAGGGTTAGGTGAACTGAAGACCAGTATAGGACAAGTTAAACCACTTAGAACTACAGGTGTCTTGACTCAGTGACGGTCAATTTAAAGTTGTGTACATTTATTCCCACTATTATTTGTTACTAATATTAGATTGTTTCAATGGTTTGGCAGAGTACGGACAGTGGTAGGTTTTCTTTTATAGATCACTTACAAAGTGGCTTATACATTTCTATTGACTGGTATTTTAACTGTTTGTACAGGTATATGTCCTTGAAGAACAATGATTGATGGGCAGGTGTTTTATGGTACATGTACTGGCCCACTATAGACTGATATATTTGCAAAGCATTTTCTTATAGATCCAGAAATTATAGTTGACATTAAATCAACAGATATAAATGATATCAATTTTAACCTTTGTATCAATTACTTGACCAGTATTTTCATATCATATAAATTTTGTAACAGATATAGGGCTAGATATTCTCACAATCAGTATGCCCTCATGGATTTTCTAACTTCTGGTGCATTCTAGGCCCACAATATACAGATATTCCTCTCGATATCTACAAATAACAGTACAGCAATAATCTGTTAAGTATGTGGAATTACTTATTGTCCCCCGCCTTTCGAAGAAAGCAGGGGACTATTAAAATGGGTTCGTCCGTCTGTCTGTCTGTCTGTTCGTCTGTCTGTCCGTCTGTCTGTCCGTCCGTCTGTCTGTCCGTCACACTTTTTGGGACACAATAACTCTCTTCCTAATTGAGCTAGAATGTTCAAACTTGGTGTATGTGTTTATTAGGTCAATGCCTTGATGGAGTTCGAAGATGAGCATTTTCCGCTTAGGGTAAGCAGAGATAAGCAATTTGATTGGTTGATGCTTTGGGACACGATAACTCTCTTCCTAATTGGGCTAGAATGTTCAAACTTGGTGTATGTGTTGATTAGGTCAATGCCTTGATGGAGTTCGAAGATGAGCATTTTCCGCTTAGGGTAAGCAGAGATAAGCAATTTGATTGGTTGATGCTTTGGGACACGATAACTTTTAATTGAGCTAGAATGTTCAAACTTGGTGTATGTGTTTATTAGGTCAATGCCTTGATGGAGTTCGAAGATGAGCATTTTCCGCTAAGGGTAAGCAGAGATAAGCAATTTGATTGGTTGATACTTTGGGGCACGATAACTCTCTTCCTAATTGAGCTAGAATGTTCAAACTTGGTGTATGTGTTGATTAGGTCAATGCCTTGATGGAGTTCGAAGATGAGCATTTTCCGCTTAGGGTAAGCAGAGATAAGCAATTTGATTGGTTGATGCTTTGGGACACGATAACTTTAGTTCTAATTAAGTGAGATTGATGAAACTTGGTGTATAGTTTCATTACAGTAATACCTTGACTAAGTTTGATAATGAGCATTTTCTGCTCAGGGTAAGCAGAGCGATACGCAATTTGATTGGTCGAGACTTTGGAAAACAATAACTCTCCTACTTTGATTGTTAGACTATAAGTAAAGATATACTGTTTGATTGTTCAATACTTTGTAAAAGATAATTTGTGATAAATTTATATGTGTCCTCTAATTATTTTCCTATTTCGGCGGGGGACATCAGCCTCACTGTTGGCTTGTTTGATTCTGATTTCCGTCCGATCCTATGTTAGAGCTAAATCTGTCTATAGCAGGTCATTTTTATACGCCCACATTGAAATGTGGTCGTATATTGTCGTATTTAGCGATTTCCGATAATAACTGCCAGAGTTATGGCCCTTGATCACTTCAAAAAATCTTGTAGACGCTCTAGAATCTAAAGTTAATATCTGATTGACTTTAAATTTATACACAGTGTTTAAGGTCATGAGGCGAAGAAGTCTAATCATTTTCAGCGATTTTCGAAAATTACTTCCAGAGTTATGGCCCTTGATCAGTTTGAAAAATCTTGTGAACACTCTGAAGGTCAAAGTTAATATCCGATCGACTTTAAATTTATACACAGTGTTTAAGGTCATGAGACGAAGAAGCCTATTGATTTTCAACAATTTTCGATAGTTACTGCCAGAGTTATGGCCCTTGATCACTTCAAAAAATTATGTGGAAGCTCTAGAGGTCAAAGTTAATATCCGATTGACTTTAAATTTATACACAGTGTTTAAGGTCATGAGACGAAGAAGCCTATTGATTTTCAGCGATTTCCGATAATTACAGCTAGAGTTATGGCCCTTGATCACTTCGAAAAATCTTGTTGACGCTCTAGAGGGTAAAGTTAATATCCGATTGACTTTAAATTTATGCACAGTGTTTAAGGTCATGAGAAGAAGAATCCTATTGATTTTCAGCGATTTCCGATAATTTTTGCCAGAGTTATGGCCCTTGATCACCTTGAAAAATCTTGTGGAAGCTCTAGAGGCTAAAGTTAATATCCGATTGACTTTAAATTTATACACAGTGTTTTTAGGTCTTGAGACGAACAAGTATATTGATTTTCAATGAATCTTTATGACTTGAACAGCTAAATCCATGATGTTAAAAGTTTCGTATGCTAAACGTTAGCATGGCGCAGAACTTTATAAAAACCGAACAAATTCTAATGGTTTTCTGATAATTACTTAATGAGTTGTTACTCTTAATCAGATTTTAATGTATTATAAACGTTTCATTACCGAAAAAAGTAAAAATATGCGACAACTCTTGTTGACTGCCTGGACGATATAGCTGCTGTGGGCGTATGTTTCGTTGCCTGGCAACCTATCTTTCTAGCTTCAAATGTTCCACTTTTATTCACATGACAAGCCTATAAACAACTCTCTAGAACATTGTATGGTTGAGATATATAATGGGTTAGAACACACTCACCAAGTTGATGTTCAAATGGATTATCAAGACTATCTTGTCAAAACTTCAAATACTCTTAACTTTGCTCAAAATAAAGTAATGTGACTGAAATTTTCAATATGTGCATGCCTCATTATCGATTTTTAAACTGTTATAGCAAGAACAGCCATCTCTTAATCTAAATCTTACATAATGCATCTTTAAAAATGCATGATTGCTTTAATTGCCCCTAAATGGAAACTTTCACTATTGACCGTCTTCTACTGCAATACAAGGTGTTTGACAAGTTAACGTCATAATAACACAATAATACACACTCTAACTGTGGGTTGATAAAATACCCATACCTCATCCCATTAGATGAATAATCATTAAACTAATAAACATGGTACCAATAAGCAAATCAGTTGGCATCAAACCAACGTGCAGACCAAGAATGATGATTGTGGATTCATGTCTATATTTTCATTTTTTGTTATAGAGGTCTACAGATTCACAGGTCCCAAATATCTGACCCAGTGTCGCTCAATGGCTTATAAATATAGTGAAAGATTTATAGCTTTAAGACTGTTGTAGTCCTTATAGGCCTATCATTTAGTAATGCTGTTTTGTATAAGATATATTCAATTCATTTTTTTATACAAGCCCATTTCAATATGGGCATATAAAAAATGAATTGACGAGACAATTTCCTGTGAACACTATACAGGCTACATTTATTATCTGATGATTTTGAAATTATATGTTTACATTAGTGAGACAAAGAATCCTATCTAATTTCAACTATTTCTGCTAATTACTTCAAGAGTTATGGCCCTTGTTTGACTTTGTGAACGCTCCATCGACTAAAGTTGTCGTCCGATCTGTATTAAATTATTTATAGTAAAAACGAAGAAGCTTATTGAATTTCCGTTAATAACTTTTAGAGTTATGTCCCTTGTTTCACTTTAAAAGTTATCGTCCGATCTGTTTTAAATTTACATGCATTATTTAAATTAGTAAAACGAAGTAACCTATTGAATTTCAGAAAGTTCTGTAAAAAACTTCTTGAGATATTGCCCTTGTTTCACTTTATTGAACCTTGTTAACGCTCTATCGACACAAGTTCTCGTTCGATCTGTATGAAATCTATATGCATTATTAAGATCAGTAAAACAATGAAGCCTATTGAATTTCAACAATTTCCATTGATGATGCCCTGAGTTATGGCCCTTGTTGAACCCCTTTTGAACAATCTAATGACAAAAGATTTCTTCCGCTCTGTTTTACATTAGTAAAACAAAGAAGCTTATTGAATTTCAGCAATTTCCATATATATTTCCTACACTTATGGCCCTTGTTTCAATTTGTTGAACCCTGTGAATGCTCTAACGACTAAAGTTATCATCCAATCGGTATTAAATTTATATGCATTATTTAAATGAGTAAAATGAAGAAACCTATAGAATGTCTGTTAAGAATTTTATGGCCTTTGTTTCACTTTTTTGAACCTGTAAATGCTCTATCGTTGGAAGTTATCATCTGATCTGTTTGAAATTGATATCATTTAGCACTACCGGAATCCCTTGCAAACTACTATAATGTGAAAGGACTTACAAAGTTATGATACATTGAAATTTCATTGATCTATGCTGCTCATCTTTTTTTGGTAGCAGAGAAACCTTATGGACCTAGTTTAAATCTGATTGAATCCAAGTCGAGGGATTAGCGTTGCTATTTTGATTTTGTTTTCTAAATTAAATGTTAAATAATCAATCTGAGTACGTATTTAGTGTGTATTACACCGTGAGAAATTTCATATTTTAGCGAAAATGCAAATTATACATTAAGCCTTTAACTTTGAAATTTTAGGTTTATTGTAAACAGTTTAATTGAAATAGTTTACCAGTAGTTTAAAGTTGAAATAGTTTACATGTAGTTTAGTTCGAAATAGGTATTTTTAAATTTGATATAGTTTACTTTAAAGTTGATGTATAGTTTACCTTAAAGTTGATGTATAGTTGATGTATAGTTTACTTTAAAGCTGGAATAGTTTACTTCAAATTTGGAATTGATCAGGTTGGAATAGATCATTTTGAAGTTACAATTGTTTTCTAATACGGTAAAAGAAGACAGTATTTGTATTGACATTTTCCTTTTTGTAATTCAGAAAGCTACAAATATGTATACTATTACTTTTCACAACGTATGTTTATATTTTTAGATACACAACAACAAAGTAGCCGCTTATTTGGCGGTGGTCCATCAAGGGCTATGATGGTAAACCGTTCTTACAGAGAGGAATTTGAACCAGGTCAAAATGAAGTATTGGAAAGAGATGTTGTAAGTAATCAATTTTGCACTATTATTTACAATTTATAATGTTTTTGTTAAAAAAATTTATAATGTTTTTGTTAAAAAAACTTGCAATCTTAGTTAAGGCCGATGATTTTAATCTGAGAATATCCTCAGATATGAGCTTTATTTATTCTGTATCACTGTGAACTTATGGAAATGATTGATACATTATTATGTTGCGAAACTCTGCTTTAACATCGTTGAATGTATATATACTCACTGACACGACAGAGTCAGTTCACATCAGCCTACCTCTTTTTTTCTGCACATTTATTAAAGTTTACTTCTTAGCCTCGCTAATATCTATATGGGTGGAGCTCTTTTGAAGGGTGGAGCTCTTTTGAAGGGTGGAGTTGTTGACTCTCCTATATAAATCATGTTCTTATTGTTCTCTTATAATAAATGAGATTAAAAACATTAAGTGTATTACTGCTTTCATTTACGCAATATTCAACGCTAATGATACATGTAGATCATAAAATAGTAAGAATTCTAATTTAATCGTAGTTAAACATTACATCTACAGATATCTATATGAAATGTAATGCAAGCCATAAATAGCTAGTTGGTGTGCATTGTTAGGTTGGTCTGTAGTTGATCTCCATTATTTATACATTTCATGGGAACGTCAATATTATACACCCATGGTATTAAGCTGGAAAAATAATGCTAATATTTTTTAGACTATAATCTATTTTATTGTGTTATAAATGTAGACCCAAATCCTTTTTCACAAAGCACTTTGACTTCAGTATAAAAGAAACATTTAACTATACAATTCTATTGAAATTAAGTGACTTTATGTATGCTTCCTGAAATATACCCCTTAATCTGCAGCAATGTTATTTTAAAGCACAAATCAGAATTCAAAGTTTCACATTTCTTTGTCACAATGTCTATTTAATAGCATATGATCTGGACTTTATAAAGATGATTATGACTTCATTTCACTTTACATCCTGGGATGTAAATGTAATGAAGTAATAAAATGAAATGGGTTTAACGTCCTACTGTTTACTCCGACTGGGCTAATACAGACGAGTTGCTTGAAGTAGGTGACATATACTGATGACATGCCATCTTTCTGAAAACTGCAAAAGGCCTCAATTTTACTGACTATATCAAAATGTATCCCCAAATCTATATTGAATTTATATTTTACAGCAATTATTAAATCACTGTTTTGATGACATAGAAAAATTTGTGTCAAGGTTACAGCAAGCAGCGGAATCATATAAAGAATTAGAAAAAAGAAAAAAAGAGAGAAACAGTAAAGATAAAAGACGTATGGCAGGAGGTGAGTCTTCTCGAAGGCCATGCAAAAAAAAAATATTCTGGTTTTCAGATAATACCACCTCACTTCAAAAGCTCTGTATTACCTGTTTTTATTTTAAAAAAATAACAAACTCATTAATTACTGCACGTAAATATTTTATCTTGTTTACAGGAAGTAAATCTATAAAGAAATTTGAATATATAGTCTCATTGATCAAGTACACAACCCTGATAAATGTTAATGTCAATCATAATGGATAATTATTGGATGCATTGTTTGTATTGTATCCAATATCAACAGTTTATTAGAATATTTGTTATACTCTAATACAAAGGTTACTGGAACAAGTTTTATTGCGCTTATTAATATAATAGTAAGCAATGTTTAATGTAATGAATGATATTGCTATTACAGAAGGAATTATGGGTTTCCGTGCACGACCACCACCAAGTTCAGACTTCACAGATATCTTCCAAAAATTCAAATTATCATTTAATTTACTGGTAAGTTGAAAATAAGTATTGATTAGTATTTTGGATCTAAAACCATCTCACATTAAAACATATAATGTTTTCTTCATTTAATTAGTAGCCTGTTTTGGCAAATAGATTGGACTTATTGTTGTAAAATTAATTTTGTCGCTAAAAAAAAATGTAATGATGTACCTGTCTTTTTTTTTATAGGCTAAACTAAAAGCACATATACACGATCCCAACGCTCCAGAATTGGTCCACTTTTTATTCACACCCCTCAGTCTTATATATGAAGCTAGCCGTGATCCAGTACATGGTAATCAGAATCTAGCAGAGGGTGCCATTGCTCCTATACTTACATCTGACGCTAAACAGCTGTTAGTAAATTGTCTTACATCTAAAGAAATAGAATTATGGAGAGCTTTAGGTTCTACATGGACAACTAGCAGGTAATTAATCAGTATTGAAGTTTACACTTTGAGAGTTGTTGGTCCATCTGTTTCTGTGTGGTAAGTCGAGAATGGAAGGTCGGGAATGCTGAATATTGATCAGGTTTGGGTTAAATACTGTAACCTCTATCAGGTTAAAGAGGGTTTTAAGAGAAAAGGGAGTGTAATGCCAAATACCAATAGAGCCCTCTTGTGGCTCCAATGCTTGACGGCAAATTTAAAACAAAACTTGTTAAAAAAAATATAACCTTTAAGGTCTGCGGAAAATGGTGGGTAAATCTGGAAGTTTTGAAAATCAATAGGGTGCGTTCTTTCGTGGGCTTAGTGCTTCACACTAAATTCAGTTAAAAAATGTAGCCTCTATCACGTTATCAAGGTTTATGGAAAAGCGGGGATTACCCAATGATGATGTATTTTGGTACACTAAAATTTAATAGGGTTTATTCTCTCATGACCTCAATGCTTCACACCAAATTTTGAATTTTTTTTTTATTAAAATATGCTTTGTCTTGCAGGTTTCTGCATGTGGCATCACAAACACAATCTTTTATTTTGTGTTGTATTTCTTTCACTAGCTCTCTCTGATCATGTAGGTTAAAAATAATATGTTTGATTATTCTAGAGATGAATGGAAAGGCTATGTACCAAATTACACACCAAGATTTTATGATGGGTGGCAACCAGCACCAGGACCCATGGAGAATGGATTTAGAAACCATCCAGACTTAGAATCAGCAGCCTTAGCTCAAGCAGCCCAAGCGAGAAGTCGTTATGAAGAGGAACAAGCAAGGTCTTTTGTAAGTCAACACAAACATTTTATCTTGGTGACACACAATAATAATGTATTGGAAAGAAAATTGTTAATGTTCTTTCATCAAAGACTAATTATTCGGAATATACTGAGATAATTGTAAATCTTAATTTTGATTAGATGACTAGTGAACTTATTAAACCAATGAAAATAATCCCCCTATATATAGGTTCATCCTTTCCTTATATTCACCCCGGGAAATTGTAAGAATTGGTACTGTTAAGTTTTGTTTACCTTTTTTTTCTCCTACACCTTTGGAAGAAAGCAGGGGACTATTAAAATTTGTCTGTCTGTCCGTCACACTTTTTGGGACACAATAACATTGACTAAGTTCGATAATGAGCATTTTCTGCTCAGGGTAAGCAGAGCGATAAGCAATTTGATTGGTCAAGACTTTGGGAGGTTTGATGGCCGAATGGTTAGCATTGTACGTGACAAGGAGTACTGTCGCCTGTCCATCCTTGTGGGTTTTTTCCGGGTCCTCCAGTTTCCTCCCACTGCTAAAGACCCCTACGCACAAGCGAATTATTGAAATACAATTGAACCATATGTTAGTCCCAAAATGTCATACTTTGTGCCTATTGGACGTTAAACCCTATTTCTATCACTAATTGAGCTAGAATGTTAACACTTGGTGTAGGTGTTTATTATGTGAATGCCTTCATTGAGTTTGAAGATGAAAACTTTCTGCTTAGGGTAAGCAGAGATAAGCAATTTGATTGGTTGATGCTTTGGGACACGATAACTTGAGTTCTAATTAAGTGAGAGTGATGAAACTTGGTGTATAGTTTCATCACATCAATACCTTGACAAGCAATTTGATTGGTCGAGACTTCGGAACACAATAACTCTTCGTCTAATTGAGGTAGAATGTTCAAACTTGGTGTAGGCGTTCATTTGGTGAATACCTTGATGAAGTTCAATGATGAACATTGTCTTCTTACGGTAAGCAGTGATAATCAATTTGATTGGTTGATGCTTTGGGGCATGACAACTTTGGTTATAATTAAGTGATGTAGATGTTCATTAGGTGAATGTCTTAACTGAGTTCAATGATGAACATTTCCTGTAAAAGCTAGGCAATTTCATTGGTCGATGCTTTGGCACAAGATAACTTTGATTCTGTCTGATAGAGTGTGATGAAACTTAGTGTATAGTTGATAATCAGTTTGATTGCTCGATGCTTTTGAAAAAGATAAATGTGCAATTAATATGTCAACTTTTTATTTCGGGATTTCGGCGGGGGATATCAGCCTCATTGTTGGCTTGTTAAGTTACATATGGATGTTTTGGTGCAGTAAATCTTAGCTTATCTTACATTAAGATATCTTCAAATTTCAGGTTTCTGAACGAGTTGTTCCATTCCCTCCAGAAGAAGACAGAGGTGTAAGATATGGTCGTTTAGGTGATTACCAGCGAAGGGATTTTGATCGACCTAGTCCTCGAGCCCCTACCCCACCTAGACAAGCTATGGGCAACCCAGCTGTTGCTGGCTATAGAGAGTATGTTGAACAACATATAGAGAGGTACACAGATATCAATCAACAGCTCATACCATCATATAGAAATAGACAACATTTCGTTTGGATTTTATTTTTGTTTACATAGAATGCTTACATAAATTTTAATTTAATTTCTAGAAAACTTTTGTTTCATCTCAATCTCTGTTTTTATTTTATCAAGCTGTTGATTAGTATTATTGTGTTAACCGCCATTTTTTTCTTTATAATTTCTTGCATCTTTTCAATGGTAATATTTGTTACTTGGAGCATTTGACTAGTAATTGGCAGATTATGTTGAATGCTATCCTTGTCTTTGCTTTAATGCTAGAATGATTTAATATGCTGATGAGAAAGGTAAGAATCTCTATATTTCAGAAGAAAGCATCTTTATACATATATATATCTTCTACAAATTTGGTATAACCTAAAAGTTTTTATATGTATGCTTTACTGCAAGGAATTTCTAATGCTTTGTCTTTATTCATTGTTTTTAATATGATTTTGTATTTGAATTCCTACTTCTTTCAAAGTAATAGTTTAACTGTCACATCTGTTATTGTACCCCGCCTTTCGTAGAAAGCAGGGGACTATTAAAATGGGTTCATCTGTCTGTCTGTTCGTCCGTCCTTCTAATTACTAATTGAAATAGAATGTTCAAACTTGGTGTAGATGTTTATTAGGTCAATGCCTTGATGGAGTTCGAAGATGAGCAATTTCTGCTTAGGGTAAGCAGAGAGAAGCAATTTGATTTGTTGATGCTTTGGGACACAATAACTTTAGTTCTGATTAAGTGAGAGTGATCAAACTTATATAGTTTCATGAGATCAATACCTTGACTAAGTTCGATAATGAGCATTTCCTGCTCAGGGTAAGCAGAGCAATAAGCAATTTGATAGGCCAAGACTTTAGAACACAATAACTCTCCTTATTGAGGTAGAATGTTCAAACTTGGTGTAGGCGTTCATTAGGTGAATGCCTTGATGGAATTCGATGATGAACATTGTCTGCTTACGGTAAGCAATTTGATTGGTAGATGAACATTGTCTTCTTACGATAAGCAGCGATAAACAATTTGATTGGTTGATGCTTTTGGGCACAATAACTTTGGTTATAATTAAGTGAGAGCTATGAAACTCCAAGTATAGATTCATTATATCATTACCTTGGCTAAGTTTGTTGAGAATTATCGGCTTAAGCTAAGGACCAATAAGCAATTTGATTGGTCAAGACTTTGGAACATAACAACTCTGTTGGTAGAATGCTTAAACTTAAAGTTTAAGGTGTTTATTAGGTGAATCTCTTGACTGAGTTCAATGATTAACATTTCCTGCTAAAGCTAAGCAATTTATTTGACTTTGATTCTGTCTGATAGAGAGTGATGAAACTTAGTGTACAGTTCATCATCAGTTTGATTGCTAGATACTTTTAAAAAAGATAAACATGCAATTAATGTGTCTATCTATTTATTTCGGTATTTCGGCGGGGGACATTAGCCTCAATGTTGGCTTGTAAGGCAAAAATAGTACTTGACCAATATCTTATAGCACTGAGACTTCTCATATTTATCTTTATGGAATGAATTTATGTTATGTATTCCTTGGTGACTCTTTGAATTATTTAAAAATAATTATGAGTGTTGGAATGAAGAATAAATTAGACAGTTTACACATAACATATTTTGCACCTGTTAGACAGTAATTTTTTAAGCTACAAATCAACTGTTATAGTAATATTGAAGAAAGGTACCATCATACCTCACTGAATATGTACAGGTGAATTAAGGGCTCAGAAATTCCCTTTTTATCAAACAACCAGGTTCATTTTTTGTTGAACTTAACCAAGAGCAATATCTGTCTGAAGTAGTAGAAAAAATAGCTAGGAAATTTTGAACTTATAAAACCTGTAGACTATTTTTGTTTCAGTTTGGATTATCATGTTTACTTTATTTTACTCCAACAGAAATATTCGTGCTCAAGAGAATCATATAAGACCTGAACCATCATACCAAGATGAAAACTCAGCTTATATTGCAGAATTAAAGGCCTCGGGACATCAGTAAGTCACTGGATTACTTTCAATGTCTCCGCCATGTGTTTAGAATACTTGACACAACTTAAATGTCTCTGGTTCAGAACTGGCTGTAGACCAAGAAGAACTTTCTGGTTAAAAGGAACATCTAAGTGGTCATCAGTCTGAGAAAACAAACCCAAGCAATCTTATTAAAATTTCATTTTGAATATATTTATGCTACTAAATTATGGTATTGGCTACTGTTCACAATACCAGAGTTCTGTGTATAAGAGTTATTTGTATTAGCCAAATGATCTGAAACCAGTAGGAGTCTAGCCAATAAACAATGCCACAATTACCGTGATTCTTAAGAAAAAAGCCTTGGATACCAATACAGACAATTTATTGAGTGAATTTGTGTCATCTGGATAGACAAACTAACTCAGTGGGTAAGAAGCTGGTGTGCTAACCAAGGTTTCTGTGATTTGATCCCTGTGTTGGCAGATAAAGTGGTCTCCCCCTTGTCAGTGGTGCAGGACTGACTACCTTGCGTATACTCCATCTTTAAAGCAAATGTCAGATTCAATAGATCAAAACATCAGAAATGAAATGAACAAATTTTAAGCAGATTGAAAAATAGTGTACAAATAGTAGTCTATGCACGTAATTGTAAATGATAAATGAAAGTGAAACATTGCTTTGATGGCAAAATGAATGAGTTACGATGCTGTTATATTTTGATATGTTATTTGTATGTTATAGAGTATGCGAGGTGATACATGATAGAGAAGGGAGAAATAGTAAAGAACTTTCATTAAGAAAAGGAGACATTGTTGGTGTAAGTATATATGTCATTCTCAAATTAGTCTCCTTTACTTGGATAAAAGTTGATAGAAATGATGTAATTTCTGTGGCTTGATAAATGAATTATGTGCGCAGTCATTTGGGTACATCGATTGGCCCATTCTGTGACTTCTCACTATGACTATAATTGCAAACGAAAAGCCAAGGTCTTGTTTACACATTCTCGCTCTCATAAAAGAATTCAATATATGAGTCAGCTGTAGCACTGCTGTCGGGCAAAATTTCCCTCATAGCATACTGCATGGCATATGCCTGTCTTCATTAGCACAGTCAGAGTAGGACGTTAAACCCCATTTCATTTCCTTCTAGATCTTTGCTGGCAGAGAGAGATGACTAGATCATCGAAACTAGTTTCTAATAATGCTTGTAAGACACCTTGGTGTAGATGCATATATAATGAATGGGTGAAGGAGTTTCCCATCTTCCTAGGAAAGGGTTTTAACTCAAACAAATTGCCATCTGACTTGTATAACTTTCAGAGACACAACTGCTTTGCTACACTTTTGGTGATCTATTGTTTACAATACAGTGAAAATGGTTAAGCTGATGAATAAATTTTAAATTTTATACATAGATTATGATACATGAAGTATTAAGCCTTTGTATATGAACTATACATAAAATAATCTCGGTTTTTAGGTAATTGATAATAGCAGAAATTGGTGGAAAGTAAGAAATATTGAGGGAAAAGTTGGATTTGCTCCGTACACAATAATGAAAGAATTAAAAGATGATGATGAGGTATATTTTTATACACAATTATACATTTGAACATTTTTATTCACAAGACGTAAAGGATAATATTGGAAAAATAATAAATCATGTGTCACAAAAACTCCACTTCAGACCTTAGTTTGATTTTCATCTTTCATAATGGCATTCAAATATAGCAACAATTGACCACCCATAAAAAGATCTTCTGTCTATTCATGTCTGCTGTCAAAAAAACCTGTTATCAAATTCACGCCCTCTTTTTTTCATTCCATAATATCAGTAAACCATATCTATCATTTTATTAAGTTGTAGAAAATATATTGTATTATTACATTTCTTTTTAGCCCTGAACTATTATGTCTGAATTTTAACGTTACAGGGTCGACTATAGATATCAAACAGTACTTGTAAATAGTTTATTGTATACTAGGTAAATAAAGATAGATCCTGTTTTCTATATGTTACTGGTGTGATGGGTGTAGTACAAATAGATTATGCTTTTATATGAAATAATTCCTATGTTTGATCAATGTGGTGACTGTTATTATTCATAGGTTTGATGCCTTAACCAGGTTACTGCTAGATTATGTGTTAATCAATTAACATTCATCATCCATCTGATTAAAATTAGATAATATTCTATTCATTTTTATATGCCCACATTGAAATGTGGTAGTATATTGTCGTCGCTCCCGTCCGTCCGCCCGCCCTTGTGGACGCTCTAGAGGCCAAAGTTAATATCCAATTGACTTTAAATTTATACATAGTGTTTAAGGTCATAACACTTTGAAAACTCTTGTGGACGCTCTAGAGGCTAAAGTTAACATCTGATTGACTTTAAATTTATACACAGTGTTTAAGGTCAAGTGACGAAGAAACCCATTGATTTTCAATGATTTTTCAATAATTACTGCCAGAGTTATGGCCCTTGATCACTTTGAGAAATCTTGTTGGCACTCTAGAGGCTAAAGTTAATAACCAATTAACTTTAAATTTATACACAGTGTTTAAGGTCATCAGACAAAGAAGCTTATTTTCAATGATTACCGATATATACTGCCAGAGTTATGGCCCTTGATCACTTTGAAAAATCTTGTGGATGCCTTAGAGACCCTAGTTATCATCTGATTGATTTTATAGTTACCGGTATACACCGTGTTTTATGCCTATGTATAATCGTTTCGATTGACTTTAGATTGATACAGAGTTTAAAGCTACAATTTCATATTTTTAAGTTATGTTTTTAAAATGTATTCAAATAAAGCCTTAAAATAGATGGTATCCATACACACTCCTACCTTGTTAAAGAATAATCCTATTAATCCTATAATTCACTGTTGCCAGCTGAGAAATTGGCAAAAATATCATTTTCAACTTCAAATTCAAACGTTTGAACATAGCTATTCCATGGAGGGAATAGGAAAACAAGGGAGGTAATTGTGTTATTATTTCCTGTGTGAATGATTTTTAAGGGTTGGAAATAATGCCCATGATCGTATAATAGTGAGTTGATAACCTGTTGAGCAAAAGACATAGAAATAATTATGTTTTGACTTTCTTAGAAAATATGAAATTCTCGCTTTAAGGTCTTGAGACAAACAAGTATATTGATTTTCAATGATTTTTGGTAACTTGAACAGCTAAATCCATGGGCCAAACTAATTCTAAAGATTTTCTGATAATTACTTAAATTTAAAGTGCACATAAGATAGGCGAGAAAACTTTTCGGTACGTATAGCCAACGGTTACTATATCCACTTTACGGCAAGTTCACCCCAATCTGATTAAAATTAATTCAGCCATCTCCACTCAAAGTCGCAAAAAGAGACCTCCCGTAAAAAACGACTTTGCCAATTATCAAAAACACACTTAATGACCTCAGACGCCAGTGACATCACAGTGACCGAATGCATATTCGGAATGTTTGTCCCTAATTACCTATATACAACCCGCGTGTGTATTCATTAACGCCTGACTGATTCCTTAATCCCCTAATTAAATAAAACAATGGACTTCAAAATAATTTGTTTTGTAATTTATTTTAAGATCCAATTTAGAATTTGTTTTATAATGTCCTGTCCTCCCTTCTCACGACAGTGATTTTAAAATTGTGTTTTAAAGTGACTTTTTGCTAGTCCATCTACCATCGTGTGCAGTCCAAATGATTTGAGATATATTTCTGTCAGACTTACTCAGAAGAGTAATGTTCTAATTTCCCCGAGTAAAAGAATACAGGAGTAAAAAGATGTGGTCATGCAAAATGTATCGTAAAGGTCAAACATGATTGAAACGCGATTTGTAAATGAGGATCCGTTATGAGAGTAACCAACTCTCTCTCTCTCTCTCTCTCTCTCTCTTTCCTGTAGCCATCGTAGGGCGCCTTTTTTTCTGCATGTGGATTTGACTTCATTACTCTGAAATAGACCGTAACAATGAAATATGTAAAAATGTCTTCTTAAAATCGATCGCCGGCGATCAATAAATTCATCATGTCATATCAAAAAAAGTATTGATAGTAAACGAAAGCCATGAAAATTCCCTTTGAATCGAGACTACGAAAGGGCGACTATTCAACATAAGAGTCATGTCATACGAGTCTAGATTCTAGCAAAGATGGATAACTCTGTGTGCGTAAACAAATGACGTTGTGTTATTTATATTTATCATCATAGCTTTTTTGATTTTAATGTCAAAGGTTAATTTTAAAAAATGAGGGTGATCTATTGTTATGTATTGTCATCGGAGAATTCCTTATTCTCAGTGAATTTCAAATGGAATTAGATAAAAGTTCTTTTGTATAGAAATGGTTATTATTATATATAGCTAGTAATGAATATGTCGACAAATGACTGGCACCATTTTTAGTTCTGTACTCATAGAGAATAGGGGTTATCCAAATTACCGGTAAATGCGCTAATTGCTTGGATCGTCTTCATTTGCAACGTGGCCTATTTAAACAAAGGCAGCTTAAATGGATCTATGGCATGATACAGCATTTTAAATTCACACTAAAATATTCCAGACACAAATGTCTAATCTATAACAAGGCAAAAGAATAATTCGGTGATTATGAATAGGCCAGTCGTGTGTTGATTGGACCGTCAATAAACACTTTCTCAACTGGTGGTGTGTATAGACAGTGATATATTGTATAGATAATGTATATACTATGTGTAGTCCCTGTGACGTCACCAGCCAATCAACCGGATTAAGGTCATAATTGAAAAATTGAAAAGTGTTTTGGGGTGACGGATATTTAAACATTAATATCTGAATTAATTTTAATCAGATTGGTGTGAACTTGCCGTAAAGTGGATATAGTAACCATTGGCTGTACATATCGAAAAGTTTTCTCGCCCATCTTATGTGCACTTTAATGAGTTGTTACTCTTAATGAGATTTAAGTGTATTATAAATGTTTCATTACCAACAAAAGTAAAAATATGTGACAACTCTTGTTGACTGCCCGGACGAATTAGCTGATGTGGACGTATGTTTCATTGCCTGGCAGCCCATCTTTCATATTCCATATTTTACTGCACTCAGTTTACTCAATTTTATGTAGTGTTGAAAATCAGAACCCTTAAGATGAATTTTAATTACATTGCATTCACCATTTACATTATGGAATCTAATAATTTGCGTTAGTCTAAAAATTTACCTCATGACCTATAACCTAACAATTTACATAACATAACCTGACAATTTGCATAACCTAACCTTATAATTTACTTAACATGTCAATTTACTTAACATAACCTGACAATTTAATTAACATAACCTGACAATTTGCATAACCTAACCTTATAATTTACTTAACATGGCAATTTACATAACATAACCTGACAATTTGCATAACCTAACCTAATAATTTACTTAACATGGCAATTTACTTAACATAACCTGACATTTTACTTAACATGGCAATTTACTCGACATTCTGGTAATCTACACAACATAACACAACCTGACAATTGACTTAACATAACCTGACAACTTTAAATTTACAGTATATAATTTAACAATTAATGTCACATAATAAAACAAATATCATTACACTCTTTTTAACATCTGAAATAATTTAGACATCCTATGTGCATGTCACTGCATTGCTCTCAAACATTTAGAACTGTAGAGATCTTGTACTTTGGTTTAAAAGTATGTGAATCATTATGGATCATTTAATAGAAAAGCTGACGTCTTTTATGGAAAATTGTTAGAGGTGAATGGTATATTTATGAAATATGCATGAAATATAATATGGTATTGGTCCAGTGATTTATCTTCTATTCAATTATTTTTGTTGTTTATTTGCATGTTACCTTTTTAGCTGTCTTAATCAAACATCAAGTGTTTTATGATTTTATTGAAATTAGATTATGACCGTACAACTTGTAAGAGTCAAGACTATTGAATATTATTTGTTCACAAAATATTTTGACTTCAGTCTGCATGTCAACTAAGGCTCTTCAATGTAGTCAAGTATTTTTGTTACTTCTGCTGCACTGTTTTTGTATCTTCACTTATCCAATCACTCTACTAATGGAGATTTAGGATAAGTTTGCTTTTTGGCCAAATTGAAGCCTATCTTTATCTGTTAAATCACATTCTTTTTCATTATCACATTTCTCTTGTTTTGTTCTTTAAAAAAGAAAGAAAGCAGGGGACTATTAAAATGGGTTCGTCTGTCTGTCGTCACACTTTTTGGAACACAATAACTATCCTAATTGAAATGAAATGAAATGGGGTTTAACGTCCTACTGTTCTGCTCCTATACTGGGCTAATGAAGACGGGCATACGCAATATAGTGTGCTATGAGGGAAATTTTGCGCGGGCAGCGGCACTATCACCTACTCTTATATCGAATTCCAACTGCCAAGGGATCTTTTACGTGCATTCCAATATATACACAGGACCTTGGTTTTTCGTATCATCCAAAGGACTAGACAGCTGTCCTTGTCAGGCCCTCTGTCTTGCATCACTGACAAGGGGGAACCCCGCCGGAAAATCTGGATGAACTTTCTCGGCCAATGCAGGGATCAAACAGCCGACCTCCAGGCTAGCAAGTAAGCCTCTTACCCACTTAGCCACGTGATCCCCCCTTCTAATTGAGCTAAAATGTTCACACTTGGCGTAGGTATTTATTAGGTGAATGCCTTGATGGAGTTCGAAGATGAGAATTTTCTACTTAGGGTAAGGGTAAGCAGAGATAAGCAATCTGTGATTGGTTGATGCTTTGGGGTGCGATAACTTTGGTTATAATTAAGTGAGAGTGATTAAACTCCCGAGTATAGATTCATTACATCATTACCATGACTAAGTTCGATGATGAGAATTTTCTGCTTAGGCTAAGGAGCGATAAGCAATTTGATTGGTCAAGACTTTGGAACATAACAATTCTGCTTTTAATTGAGGTCGAATGTTAAACTTGATGCAGATGTTCATTAGGTGAATGTCTTGACTGAGTTCAATGATTAACATTTCGAGCTACAGCTAAGCAATTTCATTTGTCGATGCTTTAGGACAAGATAACTTTGATTCTATCTGATAGAGAGTGATGAAACTTAGTGTATAGTTGATAATCTGTTTGATACTTTTGAAAAAAATAAATTTGCGATAAATATATGTGTCATCTATTAATTTTTGGATTTTGGCGGGGGGCATCAGCCTCACTGTTGGCTTGTTATACTAAATGTTGAATATGTATGCATATTTGTTTTAAAATTCTCACTCCAGTACTTACAATATTCCCTATTGTTTATCCTCTATAATATCACTTACTGACTAGACTAAGTTGAGAATTATGAATTCTTGAAATTGAATTTGAGAAATATGAACGCTTGTCAGTTTCTACATGTCCATAATATAGTATGTTTCATCTCCATGCAAGAATAGCCATGATTTATTTTTATTAATAACAATATTGCTACTTTAAGTTTACCTAACTTCAATATTGTCTGTTACCTGTTTTCTTTTTGGATTTGATTTCATTGTCAACATCAAAACACCACATTCTAGACAAAGGTGTGCACTAATACCACATAAACCTTACATGAAAATATCCACATTTGTTGTTTACAGAACTTTTAAAATTTTGTATATTTTTAGGCACCTTTAGAAAGACCATCTAGTGGGAACTATAACAGCTATATTTTAAATGAAAATGACCAGCCCCCAGTGTCAGACTTAAGACGCAGTGGTAAGAGAGGTGACTTTAGAATGTATTAATGGTGCTTTATATGTCACTTGTTCCAATTCAACATTGTTTAGTTTCTATGCAAATATTTCAATTACTGCTGAATTGAGAAACAAAAACATGTCCATTGTTTCTTAGATAAGGAAATTAATATCCTTTAACTGCTGTTATGTAACATATATTGAAATTCATAATGATTACGATATAGAAAAAGCCATTGTCATCAAATAGTCAACATAGCTGGGTTTTTTTTTAAAAAACAAAAGCAAATTGATTTTAACAGCTGAACGGTTAGTAATTCAAACCCATAGGTTGTAATTGTAAATGGAGTTCAAGGTATGGCCACATTCTAAAGGTCTCATTTTCTGTATGATCGGCTAGCACCCATCAAGAATCAGGAAGATAAATCTGTATCATTTAAAAAGAATGACTAGGCGGCTATGAAGTGTTTCAACTAACATTGATTCTGTAGTTGAGAATCATAAGTTAAATTTATTGTTTAAACGAATCAGAAATGAATACAAATGTTTGGGATTTGATATAGATAATTGGCAGTAAGCCATCTAGAAGAACCAGAAGAATGTGGCAATACTATTAATGACTCTATTTCATTGATTTAAAATTTGTGACAGTTTCTTCAATTATTAGTGATCTACCTCTTGATTGTATGTTGTTAGATAGAATTGTAAATATTACTTATTTGCATAATTAGAATTATGTAATCACACACATATTTATAAAAGAAAAAAAGGTTATTAAATCTAATTATATCTGCTAATATACATAAAGCAATACATTCTTAACACTAAAATAATCTCAGGCAGACTTCAGTCAAATCTTTCCTATAAAATCGTTAAAACAATCAATATTATGCGCATATTAATTAATATCCTAAAAGTATTTTCCCCACTTAGCTCACTAAAATTATTGTATTATGTACATAGATATTCCTTAATTTGAAATAATAATTAGCATAATATATTCATCATAATTGATATTTCTAAATCAACTTTCAAATGAATAATCTAATAATATAAATAAAACAATAAAAACTCAGTGCGTATTTTTATATAGAAAACTTAATTAGTATAAAGTTTACAACTTGTAATATGATAATATTACTGATAACATATTCATTTACGATATCATTTTATCATTGGAGATCTTTAACAAGGAGGTAGAATGAATTTTATACTCCAAAGAACAGGTCTGGAAATAATGATACTAGTTGTATCTGACAAAATGTCAGGCACTGTTGAACTAGTATCTGACATTTTGAACTGTTTGCCGGAAATGTATTAACAATATCAATAAAAATACAGAAAAAGACAAATCAATTCCAGACAAATTGACAGGAACTTGCTAGACCGGTGCCTTATTTCCAGACTTGAAAATTTAATCAAAACTAACATTAATCACACAATCCTTTTTTTTTTGCTTGTACATATATTTTATACACCTATATAAATATGATATTAATAATTGAAAAACACTGAAATAATATCAAAAACTTTGATTATTTAAATGAAACAAATGGCAAATATATATAAATGGTAGTCTTTTGGTCATTAAATATTTGATTTTTGAGATGTGTGTATATATATTCACTCAACTTTTGTCAGAATTGTAAATAGATATTACATTTCACTTTTAGACTTGAATAGTTTTAAAATTTCATTTTGGTCAATGCACATTCCATTGAAAATTTAGATTAACTTAGCAAAAGAAAAAATTTGGGCAGTGAACACTCTACATCCACATGCCTCCACACCAGGCACTATAATTTTGTAATACATGTGTGGTAATCTATATGTATTCTGACACTTTTACTTTATTATTAGTATAATACTCATCCTACATGTATACTAGTAGCATTGTTGCACTTAATTTTATGTTAGCAGATTTAGCATAAAAAAAATCTTATGAGTTGAATTTTATAAACATAACTTTTAAAATTATATACAAATCAAAATTGGCAAACATTAGATTTTGGGCCCAAAGGTTAAGAAACTACCCTAAAAGAATCATTATTTAGATGTTTATTTCTTGATAAATTAACGTTGTATCCCACTATAAATATATAGGTGTTTCATGTGACTATATTTGTTATTTTGATGGTGTACACAACACTTCTATATACATATATATTGTGACAGCAATACTTACACATTTTGATGTGTACTATTATCCATGATAATTTGGAAGATTTTTATTGTTAATGGGAGAGTCTATAAGAATTCAATCTGTTATTGATGTAATTGAGTTGAAGGAATGGTAAGATTTTTATTGTTAATGGGAGAGTACGTTACTGTAAGTCCATAAGAATTCAAACTGTTGTTAATGGTAATTGAGTTGAAGGAATGGTAAGGGTACCGTTGGTACAATTTCTTTATTTTTATCTAATTTTGGTGAAGAAGGTGTTGGCATGGCATAGATGTGGGCCTGTCGTTCGAAGAATTATTTCTTGGCAAAATCTGATCGAATCAAAAACATATCACATAATTATTATTGGAATCTTTTTTTTACTTTTTAAGTAGAAATTATTTAAATATATAAAAAAACCAACATATTTTTGCCAAGATAATAATTCTAGGGAGAGTAAAGCTTATGCAAGTCCAAAATCTGTATTAAACCTGAAAAAATCTTAACATCTAATCAACAAACTAATACTTTTTGCATGTCATTTACAGCATTTTGGTTTTGGTGTAATAACAATTTCTTTTAATACACTGATTTCTTTCCATTAACCCTGACCACCCCCCAATTGATTAACCCCTCTACCACAATAGCAAATGTCTGACTTATTAACTTGTGTTTCTGATTTACCTTGATGTTTGGTGTTGGTTAAGTTCTTAAAATAATGTCAGTTAAACTATGTATTGGTTTTAATTTACCTGCATGAAAGTTATTATTAAACAAAGATCAGAAATCTTTGCATGTAATTTGCATCTCCTTTTTACCATGTATAAATTTTCTGCAAAACTTATACCATCATCCTCCAGCACATGCTCTTCTATTTAGAAACGGATTTGCAAATGGTTGAACTCTTATTTGTTTTTGGGTTTATTTGGATAGGCTACATAAATATAGATTGATGTTGAGATATATAGCAAGTGCCCTATTTCAGTCATCTTTGCCAGTTTTGACTAATGGCAGTGAAATTGACAGCCTAAGGATTATGACTGTGAGTCAAATTTAGATATAAAAAATAGTTAGGATTTTCTAAGAATTTAAACATGACACAATAAAATGAGATAATGCTAAAAAATTGCATAGCCTTCAGAAAGAAATGCTTGCTATTATCTGAGTCAAAGCTCACAAGAAATTGACTGGCTGGTAAATTTTTGCACATAGAGCCCTAATAAATTAGAAATCTTACTGTGGTAACTTTGCCCACTCAGTATCAATCTATTTACCATTAAGGTACCATAACATTTAAAAACTACTCCTTCAACTCAACTACAAAATCTACCGTTTATCATTTGCTGGCAATAATATATTTATTTTAATAGCTATATAAAAGGCATATACTATACTTATGTAAACAGGTAAGCAAGATGAAATCAAAATCATCTCCAAAGAAGTATAATGTAATTCCTTTTGCTTCAACACATTCCTGAAAATTATTGTGTGCTCTCCCATATTAAAATGCTGTAAATGATAATGTTCATGTAAATGAATAATAATTACTGCAATATAAATTGGATGTACAGTAAAATGAGGGCTATATTATCAACTATATTTATAATTAAGTATAAGATATATATTGTATACAGATTATAGGACTGTGCATGTATTTTGCTCTCATTTGATAATAAATATTTATACTTACAAAAAAAAATAATTGTTTTTAATTAAGTAATTTTGGGTGAAAATTGGGAGATTTTACATACTCACTTTCTAATGGGGTTGAATTGTTGGTGTCGCCCATGTCCATTTGTCATCAATATCTTAATGTTTGCAGTCTAGCTTATGTCAAATATGAATATTGTGAAAGTTTAATCTCTAAACGGTTCACCATCCTCAGCAGTTGATTTTGTTAAAACCAGCCACTGCCACTGATACACTTGGCAATAATCTTTTGATTAGGTTGTGAAAAAATAGATGATCAGCGGCTTATGTTTTGTCCTTTCTTGAAAAATGCCACAATAGAATATACGAAATAATTGTGACATATTGCATATGAAAATATGAATTGGCATAGTTTCAAATTCAAATCTACCTTTACTTTTTGTGGTGCAGTTAATGCTTCCTCTGGTCATCCTATGATTGAATTAATGTGCACAATTTCATATTTTATATTATGTTAGAGCTTAGAAACGTCACCATAGTTCACTGCACACGAGGGTTACACTACAACTCTTAAAGTATTTATCGGGTGGTTATTTAAAATAAAAGTATGGTAATTTTGGGATATATAGAAAGTAGAGACACTCAGTCTTACTAGAAAAATATTGTATTCCCTGAAAATCACCCATGGGGCACGCACAAGACACAAATTTGAGAGTATCTTAAAAGACAGCCTGTCTCCCCATGTGCATAGGGGGCGCTTCTTATGTGTTGATCTAATGGCCAGCAGTTGTGAGAAAATTGAGAGAATTAAACGTCCAGTAGACTCTGCAATTAGAGTGCAGAAAAAGAAGTTGACAGAGGATAGTTCCTGAGTTTACTTAGGCTGATAATGGATTCTTCCTCAATCAAGTCAAGTGATAAACACAGATGATAAAAATAGAATCTTGAGGCATGGGGTAGTTTTTTTCTGATTAAAATGTTTTGAGAGGGATTTGAAGCAAACTTTTGATAGATCAATTAGTTTGAATATATTTTTAGTTCAAATATATCATCCATTTACACGCTTTGTATGAGCCAAACATCTTTAAATATTATAGACTATAATGGCATGTGCAAAATAAGGATTATTTGTTGGTGACCAGTTTTGATTCATGTGCAATAAGTTATGAAGTCTGATAAATTATCTACAATGTTTTGGGTTTGATAAATGTATTTCCTGATAGAGATTGTTTAAATCCCAGGTTCTACTGATTTATAAACGAACCATTGTATGGCCGAGAACTTTAATATGCAACACCACTTGACAAGTAGCGCAATGTGGAATTTTCATGCATGACATTCCAACGAAAATGTCCGATAAGAAATCAGTTACTGACTAATACCAGTAGGTGATCCAAAAGTCCAAACACTTTATGTGGTTTTCAAAATTGGAGAACAATACTTCTTAGTATACAGGGCTATTGTAAAGTATTAGTGTATCTGATTGCTTTAAGAAGGTAATTTAAACAGATATGCCATATTTTGTTATTTTATTCTTTTTAGTTGATCAAGATGATCTGAATCTTGACTTGAACTATCTAGAATCCAGCATGTCTGATTCTGGCAGAGAGAATCGAGATAAATATTACCGAGATTCTGACAGAGATGACCGAGATAAATATTACCGAGATGATTCTGGCAGAGACGACCGAGATAAATATTATCGAGATGATTCTGGTAGAAAGAACCAAGATAAATATTATCGTGATGAATCACCCAGAGATAGAGACAATTATAGGGAAGAGTCACTTGAATTAAAATACAGACCCAAAAAGGTTAATGCACATTCTGATTTGCACTCATCAAAAAAGCCTGATAAGTCCTATGTGTACTCAAAAGTGAAACCTAAAGATAAATTTTCCAGTATTGATAGAGAAGCTGAACGACCTTCATATCAAGGTCATCGCCGAGGAGACTCCTACAGTCGTGAAACTACATTGCATCAAGCACAATACGCAGAGAGACAAACTGTTGAAGATGAAGTTTCTGATTCAAACTATTTTAACGCCCAATTAAGACGAGAAAAAGAAAACTGGCAAGACGATAGACCCGGACGATCCAGACCACGACCAACAGATTATGTTAATTATAATGAAGAAGACAGTGCTAGCCCTTCTCCCCAATTATCACCTAGACCAGTTAGATCTCCTAGAAATGTTTCTGATAATCTGCCTCCACCTCCACCTAAAGCCAAAGTACATAATCCGGAACCTGAACGAGCTTTTAAACCTGTTAATCCCGATAGACAAAGAGCTACAGATGAAATAACTCATCAGCTACGTCATGTATCACCATCACCACCTAAACCAAACTCTACAAGACCTCTACCAAGTAAGACATCAAGAGTTCTTTTACAAAATGCTATCGACTGTGTCATTGTGTGGGTACAAATAAAATGTTGAGATAGGTGTTTTGATTGCATTTATTGCATTTTGAAAAAGAGCTCTTGTACATAATTCATTTTTTTTAGTCAACTGTACTGCGGTTGTGTAGTTTTCCCGAATGGACAAGTCATGTCACTGACTCAAAACACATGATTTTACTAGTGACTTTGCGTGAACCGAAACCTTCATATTCCTAGACGGATAATTCTCAGAATATTAAAAAAATTTCAGAGCTTGTGACATAACCCATATGTTTTCCAAACTTGGCACCATCTTAACAAAATTTGGGTGCAATGACACCATTGAAATATCATTCATGAGTAATACAACAACTTAAAACCATATTCTGTATTGACACTTTTATACTGTAGTCAACTTTACCATTCACCTGAAGAACATAGCATGACCCTTGACAAAGGTCTGTTAGATCACAATGCAGTTTGGGCCATCAAACTAAACTGCTTCTTTTTTATACGCCCACATTTTCATGTGGACGTATATTGTCCTCACCACTCCTCGACTCTGTCCGTCCATTCACATTTTTATCCAATTTTAACGAAACTTGAAATATAAGTGTATCTCCCAAAGATCTTGGTTCCTTTCGATATTCGTGCATATCAGACATGAACTTCCAGGATTATGCCCTTGATAGTACAAAAAATCGTGTTTTTAGCTTCTGGTCCCTCTATAGAGGTCACAATTTTAATCCGATTTAAAAAAAAACATATAAATATATCACCGTTACGCCTTAATAAGGGTTGAGTACAAATTTCTTGAATATCGGACCAAAATTGCTGGACAAAATGGCCGCTCCTAGAACACAAATAGAGTAAAAGTATGTCATATCAAGGTTGTGGACCCTCTAGAGGTCACAATTTTGATCTGATTTCGATGAAATTTTAAATTTATCTTTATATCACAAAGATCTCGAATCATTTCGATAATCACGCATATTGGAACGTTAATTCCTGGATTATGGCCCCCGATTTTTTGAAAAATCACCTTTTTAGCTTGTGGACCTTCTAGAAGTCACATATTGGATTCAATTTTAAAAACCGGTTAAATATATCACCGTTACACTTTCATGAAGGTTGAATTTGAATTTCATAAAAATCCAAACCAAACCCCATGACAAATTGGCCGCTCCTTGTACACAAATTATTAAGTATGTATTACCAAGTATGTGGACCTTCTAGAAGTCAAAATTTTTATTCAATTTTGACAAAACATGAAATGTATGTTTATATCACAAAGATCTTGTTTCTCTCAATAATCACACATATTGGAATGTAACTTCCTGGATTATGGCCCCTGATTGTTCAAAAAATAACATTTTTACATGTAGCTTATGGACCCTCTAAAAGTCACCATTTGTATTCAATTTTAAAAACCGTTTAAATATATCACTGTTACACATTTCGTAAAATTCCGACCGAAAATGCCAGACTAAATGGCCGCTCCTTGTACCCAAATAGTCTAAATGTATGTAATACCAAGGTTGTGGACCCTCTAGAATTCAAAAGTTGGTTCCTTTCGATATTCGTGCATATCAGACGGCCCCTGATTGTACAAAAAATCGTGTTTTTTTAGCTTGTGTATTCTCTAGAGGTCACAATTTTTATCTGATTTAAAAACCATTTAAATATATCACCATTTCACCATGGGGAAGGTTGAATTCGAATTTCGGGAAAATCAAAATAAAACTGCCAACAAAATGGCCACTCTTTGAACACTAATTCTGTAAAAGTATGTAAAACGAAGGTGTGGACCGGACCCTCTAGAAGTCACCATTTTTATCCAATTTTGATTAAACTTAAAATACATCTTTATATCCCAAAGATCTCAGTCCCTGTCGATATTTGCGCATTTCAGACCATAACTTTCTAGATTATGGCCCCTGATTGTATGAAAAATTGCTTTTGTTTTTAGCTTGTTCTCTATCCATCTCTTGCAAAATGTGGGCGTATCTTGCCTGACAACCACTGGTTTTATCAACACAATACTTTGGTCATTTTGAGACATTTTACCTCCATTCCTGTTTTGCTTTAGTTAACCAATAATTTGGTTTGGTCATTCCTGTTTCTATCCTCCTGCCTTGAATGCTAGTAACAAGCAAGTCAAACCAGAGTTAATCTGAGTTCAGCAAAAACAGTTTTATAGCTGTTATTAGAATATTTGGCAATGAGTTGGCAATGTTTGAGTAAATTGTATATTTTAGATATACCAGTACGGACTAAAGACGATGATCTAAGAGATGAGTTAAAGTCACAAGTAGGTAATAGAGGTGATAAAGTAAGACAGACTAATTATGTTAATTATATTAATCCTGATTCATCAGCTAATCAAGTCATGGAATGGTTACATACAAAGGGATTTTCTTCAAAGTAAGTTCAGATAAATTACAACAATATAATTACAATAATAATCTTCTCGAGTTAATGTATGTACTTTTTATTTGAAGTTATTCATATTGAAGCTTTCATGCCAGATTTCTATCATTCTGATCAATGCCAAGATTCACTTATTTCTGTTGGTTGTGTTCCTTATGTAGAACATAACTCTTTAATCGCATATTTCAATGCACTTTTTGGAAATTTTCTTGTGGAGGCTCCCAGCACCCCCTTGCTGAAAAATCCTTGCACCACCACTGCTATGGGAGTTAATTATTGTAATAAGGCTAATAATTGTATTGTTCTGGAGTTATTATTATACTAAGCATGCATTGATCGCTGAGTTAAAATAAGGCTTACCAGGTACTTCTCCATAGAAAAATTCTTGTCTATTGAAGAATGATCAAATTAATATCATGTTTTATGCTTGGTTTTTTTTACAGTGCTATTGAAACATTTACTGGTTATACAGGAGAAGACATGTTTAATTTAAGAAATGATGAAATTAATAGATTAGTACACAGAGAGGATGCTCATCATCTAGAAAGTTTACTTCGTGTTCAGAGAAATATGTCTGGGGTAATTGAATTTATTTCCTTAATTTATGATAGGGTCATAGTGTGCATGTTGATAATAGGCATTTTGTCCGGCAGGTTTGGTCCTTTTTTTTCACGAATTTCGAACTCAACCATCATTAGGATATAACGTGATATATTCAAACGTTTTTTCTAAATTGGTTAAAAATTGTTAACCCTAGAGGTACTACAAGCTAAAAACGCGATTTTTCTTAAAATCAAGGGCCATAATTTAGGAAGTTACAATTTGATATGCACGTATATCGAAAGGAACCAAGATCTTTGGGTTATAAACATGTATGTCAAGTATCATCAAAATCGGATCAAAAGTGTGACCTCCAGTGAGTCCAAAACCTTAATATACCATATTTTTACACTATTTGCGTACAAGGGGTGGCCATTTTGTCCAGCAGTTTTGGTCTGATGTTCACCAATACCTGTGTATCGGTGATATATTCAAACGTTTTTTTAAATCGGGTCCACTAGCTAAAAACACAATTTTTCGTACAATCAGGGACCATAAATCAGGAAGTTACGATCTGATATGCGCAAATATCAAAAGGAACCAAAATCCTTGGGTTATAAACATGCATTTCAAGTTTCATCAAAATCAGATAAGAAAATTGTGACCTCTAGAGTGTCCACTAGCTAAAATCATGATACATGCCAATATCGAAAGGAACCGAAATCTTTTGGAGATAAAGTTTCGTCAAAATTTGATAAGAATTGTGACCTGTAGAATGTCCACAAACAAATTGAAAACGGACAGATGTCCAGACGGACAGGAGCGATGACAATGTACGTTTACTTGAAAATGTGCTGTGGGCGTACAAAAACTATATTCAAAATTCTGTAAATATTTACCGGTAATCTGAAAAATAACTATGTGAAATGTTTTGGAAATCAACAATCCTTAAATTTTGAAATTCATTAATTAGGATTCTTCCATATGCCCCAATAAATAATCCCACGAAATTTTTAAAAAATACATTCAAAACTTGTTTGTTTTAGTGTTTGATTTACATCCTTATAAATCGTTTGTTACAGTTCGGTGCAGCTAAAGGTGGAGCTGAGTTACAGGCTATATTACAAAAACGTAAACAAAAGGCTGATGTTGGAAGAAAATCATCTGGATTTGGTGAGGCACCAAGTTTTCGACCACAAACTCCTACCCATAGTGTTGATGGTAGATCGGAAAGTATGTATAATTTATTGCTTTCTGTATTTATATTGTGTTAAGAGCAATTGTAGTCATGTAGACTAACAATTAGAATAAATTATCATATGTTAATAACCAAGTAACCAAATTAGTGTTTTAAACCAATCAAGTATACTAAGCAGCAAAAGAAACGTCAGGTTGGTATGTTACTCTGAATAGACGCATTGCATAAAACTTGCCAAATGTTTTTATTGTATATTTGTGACCACATCTCTAACTTTACCTGAGCAATAAGGCTTCTTCCCAAACACAGAATTGAACCCAGTAAATGATCTCAAAAACACAATCTGACTTCTGAGATGGTAATGTGTTCTCCATGATTTTCATGTAACTCTTGCTGCACGTGCTGTTCACCAGGATCGGCCCTATAAAATGCACCCCCCACACCTGGTTGAATCATTCACACTACAACGTCAGCAGCATGTAACGAATCACGACAGCTCACACTGCCCAAGCCGTTGTCAATCACTTCCAGGTCAATGTTCGACCATCAAAGGGGGGTTGAATGGCCGAATGGTTAGCACGTGCGTGCTGTTTCATATGGCCTGTCATTCAGTCAATTGGCGTGGTTTCGAATCCCCGGTTGTACGTGACAAGGAGTAGGGTCACCTGTCCAACCTCGTGGGTTTTCTCCGGGTCCTCCGGTTTCCTTCCACTGCTGAAGACCCCTACGCGCAAGCGAATTATTGAAATAAAATTAAACTGTATGTTAGTCCCGAAATGAATTAGTTTGTGTCGAGTGGACTTTAAACCCCATTTCTCTCTCTCTCTCGAACCATCAACAGGCGTCGGCAACGCTTTCGAGCCACCGACACCATGGATGATTGCCCCCGAACTGGTAGACCAAGGGTTACCACAAGCGACAAGACCGCCATGTTGTGCGACAGCACGTGCAGAATCCCTTCACACAGGCATCTGAGACAGCACGTCAGACAGTGGAAACACACACAAGACCCATTAGTACCAATACAGTGAGCTGACATCTCACCAGAGAGAACATCCATTGCCGTAGACCTTACCGTTATTCTGACCAATGTGTCATGGAACGAGGAGGTCCAAGCATAATGGTTTGGGGTGGAATCGGCCTGAACCAGAGAGTGGGTCCTGTGGTGTTCCAAAATCTTGGTCCAGGGAGAGGAGGTGGCATCACAGCAGTGTGCTACATCGATCAAACTCTCAGACCCCACATCATACCACATTTCGCATGTCATCGAAACAACGTTTTCCAGCATGACAACGCCTGTGCCCACACCGCCAGAGTTACTCGGGACTTTCTACAGCAGAAGGGTGTCAACGTTATGCACTGGTCACCCCTTAGTCCGGACTTGAACCCGATTGAACATCTTTGGGATGAAATCCAGAGGATAGTCGTACCGAGACCAAACACAGCCGATGGATTGCGCCAGGCTTTTCTGAGAGTGTGGTTCCAGGTGCCAATGGCGTTCATCAATCGTCTGGTCCACTCCATGTAGACACTGCGCTGCTGTTATTGACACGCTGCTGTTATTGACACTCGCGGTGGACACACCAGTTACTGATGTATAGACTGTGTACAGACTCTAAACCTTCTCATAATGTCTTGGAATTGTGATGAATGTGTCAACATACTGTTCACAAGAAATTGCTTTGATCCATAGTCGTTTTCTAGAATGATTTGATTAAAGTGCCTCTCTGATTTTGCTGTTTAGTATATTATTCATAATTCAGTTTTTCATTAACTAGAAATAATGAATTCTTGAGAATGCTTTTGGTCCTGAATCTTCACATTGAAGACCTTAGATATACATGAATACGTGACTAAATTCACGCTTCTAATGTCGAAGAAAATATTCTATTTTGATGGCATATTCTCGAATTTATGATCATATTTTGAATGGGGTTTATGTTAATTGTTTTAGACGATAGCTCGTGCTAGAGTAGAATGTGATTATTTAGCAGATGGTGTCATTCCCTGTTGTGGTATAGCAATGTTTATTGCCCAAAAAATTTTCGGGATATCATATTCTTACCCTCTGTACATAAGTCGTCATGGAGTATAAGACGAATGCTAGACTTCTGCTGAAAAATGTAGCGACTTATGACCCGAAAATATGATAACTTTGGAGAAATTTGAAACAGTACAGATCGGCAGTAGTCGGCACGCTTTCATTCTATTGTATTACGAATTTTGTAGGAATATTACTGACATAAATTTGTATACCGTATGGGAATTAAATATGAAAAATAACTAGGTGCACCTATTTTTATATTACGAACGAATTTGAATATTTTGTTTACACATGATTTTTGTGTGTGGTCTAAAAACTGCCATCTTAAATAACGATAAGAGTTATGTCCCTTTATTTTCTGTAAAAATGTCCGACAAGAAAAATTTGGAAATCCCATCACTGATACATGGGCATGTATAGTCTATAAAATAACATATCTTGTTTTATTTTGCATTTATATTTCATTAAAATGCATCCATACTAAGGCATAGAAGTGCTTTTCATTTATGGTTGGTTTCAATTTGTTGGAAGTCACATCTGGTATAAATTATTTTGTTTATTCTAACAAATGGAGCAAGATCCAAAACAACTGGTACTATATTTTAGACAGTTGTTTAGGGGACAATATCATTTAGATTGAAGTAGAATGAAATGTCAAAATATAAAATTCAGTGAGTTTATTTCTATTTTTACAGCTACAGAAGATTTAGATTTTGAAAATACTGGGAAAACACTTAGAGATCTTCTTATACGACAAAGACTTAAAATAATGAAGAGTACATATAACCAGCCAGATGATGAATAGGTTGTGACGACTGTTGTCTTCTTAATATGAAAACATATTATTTCATGTTTTCTTGAAGATCATAAATTTTACTTTGCTATCTTTACCATGCACTTATGTTTAACACAATATTGTTCTAAATCAAATTCAAGCAGTAGTTTAAGCAATAATTTCATCCATTCAATATTTCATATTTTACAATTTATTATAATAAAATAACCGATAATCAAAATATTAAGTGCAATGGACAAATTTAGCAAAATGTCTCATTTATTGATTTTTGAATAATGATTTTCTTATTGCAAAGTGCTTTACAAATACAGATATAACACATATATGTGTTAAACAATATTATTATTATTAGACTTATTGCTAAGTGCTTTACAAATACAAATACAGATATAACATATGTTTTTAAATAGAACTATCTGTAAGCTTGATTTGAAGAAGTGAATGATACACTTTGACGGTGAATTTTCTGTAGATTGCTCTATGGACAATAATAGCTTACTGTCTGTACTGTGTAGCGAACGGAGCATTAAAATAATAATAAAATTATTTTTATAGTGCCTGTTCCATGCCGAGGTGTGCTATAAGCTCTTCTAATGTCACTCTGTAATTATCCTGGCAGCAGTGTATTGTATTTTCTGAATTCTGTTAATCTGGTATAGGTAGGCTATAAAGGACAGAGTTGCAGTTTTCGAGACGAGAGAGCACCATGTGTTGCACTGCTTGTTTGCTGACTTCAGTTGTCAAAAGATGGCAGATATTGGCTATACTCTTCAGGTGAAAATAGCAAACTCGACACAGTTGATCTATATGGTTCTCAAATGTTAATGAGGAATCAATTATCACTCCTAGATCCCGTCAGATTGTGCAAAAGTTATACTGGTGTCTCCAATTAAGATGCTAAACTGACAGATTGGCAGAGATTGACTATAACAAGAAAATGTTTCCTTTGTATAGAAAGGAGCTCTGTCAGAAAATCATGCTTTTAATATTGTGCTTCTTGAAAAGGAATTTGATATTGTATTGTGTATAATGTATTTTAATATTTATTACCAGCTCTGGTTAAATGAGACCTTTCTATCCCATACAGGACACAACACCTGTAAAAAAAGATTGTATGCTGTTTTTGGTTACAGAGGAGTCTTGTGCTTTTTATTTCCATAATTTCCAATTGTTGTTTTCATAAAATTATTGATGCGGTATGTGCTAGTTTTCCAAGATAAATAGGCCCTACTGTAAACCAATTTAGAATTCTTTGAATACAAAAGTAAAATATATTGACATCTCTATTTTGATTATCCCTCCATCCTATGTCCCATTATTCGGCACACAGAGAACTATCTACTCTACTACGGGAATAGATCTCTGCCCTTATTGGCCACCATATTCAACAATTAGTATACTGTTTTTTAATGCAGTCCTACTTTGGTTCACATCTTTTATACACAAAAAAACTAATTAAACCTTTTCAATTCTATTAAACGAAAGCCGAATATATTTTTATCAAAATTCTCGAAATATGCTTAATCTTTTCAACTAAAATCGTTGGTTTAGGTCTTAAAATGTCGATCAACAAGATAAGTGTCTGTTCTCAAGCGGAGTTAACTGTAGACAGACATCCTAAGGTTAGTATGATGTCCCATTTATGCGAGCCGGTCAATTTGAAGTATTTATTATAATATAGAATTAATAATTTTAAATATGCTGTGATAGTGGAAAAATATATTTCAAAATTTATATATATATGTATATTTTTAAGGTTAGTCGACCAAATTACAGATATTATTAATTTGCATATATGCAACTAATATTATAATGTATGGTTGTAAATTGTTGTCATCACTGCTGTTAGTTAAATTTTGTATTTCTCTGCTGATGTATTTAATTTCTATACTATATAATATAATAAATTAAAATAATAATTACAGTTATAAATTGCATAATTTTAATCATATCATTGTTATTTGCTTTTTATGTATTTTTTCTGTCTATAGCATCAGTTTTTCTTTGAATGCTGATCAGTCTATCTATAACTTTCTAACATCTGCCATAATTATTATTACTGTTATTTCTCTCTGTAATTCGGGGGTATGTCAATTTTTTGCCAGAATTTATCGATGAAAATTGTAAGCTAATTATACCTTAACCCCCAAAAAACTTTTTGGTATTATACCCAAAATTAAAAATTTGAGGGACAATATTGCAAACACCACTGCTGAATTAGTGCGAAACAGTTACACCATTATATGCTACTTGAATATTGTGTAAATATATGAAACATACATTTAAATATATAGTGGTTCTGTTTCAATTCATTTAGTGCTAAAGTAACTCTGTATAAATATATATATATAAAGGTAATAATATAACTGCATATTATTTGTGTAATTATTACTGGTATGTAATTTTAATTGTTTATTTTTTCCTGACATTCAAAACTCATATTTTTTGTATGACTATATTATCTTTGGATGATGATATTTCTCTCTCAATCTTTATTCTTTAAAATGTCAGTTAACTGAACTCCAAAAAATTCATATAGGTAGCTTTAAGATTTGGTTTTAATTTGTCATGATATTGCTATGTACCATAAATATTAACCTATTTTGATTGTTATCCAAATTGACATTTGTTATCACCAATTGATTTTATATACTTGTTAATTACCTTGTGTTATAATTATAATAATTAAAATAAAATTAAAATGATTTTTTAAAAATCCATTTTCTGTTCTCCATCATTTTTAAAAATCCCATTCAGACTAAAGTTCTGTACCTTGATACTGGGACAATATCGACACAAAATGTTTTTGAAATTTGCCATACGAAAATACACGAATCAACATTCTCTCTGAGTTCTTAATCTATTAGGAATCTGTCCTTTAAATTTTCACAAGATATAAGTTCAAACATTAATTGAAAGAAAACCCTACAAATTGAGATGAAACATTTTTACAGGGGTGATCACTAGGCTTTCTTTACTTTTTGGTGTGACTTCCACACACAAAATATACAACAGTGGGATTTGATTGCACTAGTCAAGTGGTAAGGAAAGGAAATTGAATTCTTGCATAGAATTTCCTAGGTTCGATTGCACTAGTCTAGTGGTAAGGAAAAGAAACTGAACTCTTGCATAGAATTTCCTAGGTTCGATTTCCTGATTTTGACCGGGATCTTAATTTTGCCAGCCCAGATTTGATTTACTTGTCAGTTCTGGCGTCTGTGAGGCTGACAGAGAAGATGTGCATAGTTGTTTGGATGGGACATAAAGTCATGGTCCACCTACATTATATTAAGACCAGAGTGACTGAAGAATTGAAATTGAAAGACAATAGACCAAAGAAATATTTCTTGGTGAATCATCTCAAATATCAAATGGCTAAATACTAATATTTTATCTCCCCAAATAGCTGATTCAACAATATATTTTGTTTTTGAACGTTTAAAAATTAACACATCTCAAATATCATGCATTCTCAAACAACATAAGACTACTGTATGAAAATCATTGATTTGCTATTGCTCTCCCATTTCCAAAAGATAAGCTAATAAACGATGCTTTCTTTCTGCTCCTCTAGAGTGGCCAATGACATTGACAACAAAAGATTTTAAAATTACTATTTGTTTGTGTTTCTGGTGGATTAAATGTTGAAATTATACAGGAACCATGGCCTTTAAATGTAAGACCATATACTACATATTCAGTTTAATGTAAATGCTTGTACCAGGGCCTTTAAATGTAATGACCATGTATTATATATTCAGTTCAATGTAAATGCTTGTTACACAGTAGAAACATCTTTAATGGTGTATTTCACAATAACAGATGACTCTAGTAAGCTAACCACAGCAGCTAAGTCATCCTGCAGTAACAACCCATTAAGTAATTATCAGACATCATTAGAATTTGTCTTGATTGTCTGTCTCATGACCTTTAACAAAGTGTCCAAATTTAAAGTCAATCGGATATGAACTTTAGCCTCTAGAGTGTCCACTAAAATTTCTCATCAGATCAAGGGCTATAACACTGACAGTAATTATCAGAAATCGTTGAAAAGCAAAAGGCTTCTTTGTCTCATAATCTTTAACACTGTGTATAAATTTTATAGTCAATCAGATATTAACTTTAGCCACTATAGTGTCAAAATTTTTCAAAGTGATCAAGGGCTACAACTCTGGCATTAATTACCGTGACCTTACACACTGCATAAATTAAAAATCAATCAGATATTAACTTTTGCCTCTACAGCGTCCACAAGATTTTTCGAAGTGATCAAGGACAATAACTCGGGCAGTAATTCCGGCCGGCAGAAATAAATGACCACATTTCAATGTGGACATATAAAAATGTTCTGTTAACCAAATTTTTAATACAGTTTATTTCAATAAAATATTTACAGATTATTTACAAAATAAAATGAGTGATATTGTGTTTATATACAGATATATGTAAATCAAATTATCTTTCCACTGACTATGCCTAAAGTTAAATACAAAATACATGTCTGTAAAATGTCATATTATCTGGTGACAGGTCACATTTCCTAAACTGGTCTAAACCTACTTTTGTCTTTTTCTCTGAAGTTTCTTAGAAAACACTTGTCTGCAACATCACCCAAGTTGGAAGCGGACATAAGATGCCATGAACGAACAAGGCCACCTTTAAAGCACTTAATTCATGCTGACATTACTGTACTTGTTGTTAATAAGGAATCCATCCAACAAACAATACTCTGTTCCTTTCAAAGTACAATAAATAAAGATACATTATCAATCATTGGATCACGCTGAAAGATTTTGTTACCATATGTACACATGTCCAATTCGCAGTAGATGTTTGAATTATCCAGCTATTTGCTCTAATTTCTATTCTTATTCTAAAAGAATATCTTTGATAAACTATAAAGTGATATATCTCGTATAATAGATTAAAGCAAGTGCCATTAACAACTAATCGTTCATGAATCATGTTCCTAAATATTAACACTGAAGTGCTGCTCCATTTAGTTTAGCTTCAAGTCCCACACCAGATCCAGAAAAACCTGATGATCCCTGCAAAAATACACAAATGCTTCATTTTAATACCACAGACAGGAACAGTTTGAATTGTTTGTAAAGGAAAATCAGAGTCATGGGTGCCTGAAGCTGTTTATTAATATATGCACCAGTCTACACTTCATCATAATATTCCGAGTCAGTATCAAGTTTAAAACTAAGCAAACTGTATTTACTAAATGGTTTCAAATTGAGAAATTCATATTTTTAAAATTATGATAGAGAAAATGTAAATAGTAATAAAACCATTCCAATACTTACCCTCTGTAAATAAATAATGTCTTTTTCTTTCATTTTGGTTCCATTGATAGGATCTAACATATCTTTCTTAATTAACTTTTCAACACATTCCACAGTGACAACACTGCCTCTGAAAATTTAAGTGTGAATATTGTGGTAAATGGATTTACTTTTCTATACAGACATTTTTTGGAATGGATGGAAAAACTAAATTTAATCATAAATCAGTCATTCCTCAACTTTGGTCATTTAGATAGTAATTTAATATGACAGTTCTACCACGCCCATTAACAAATTCTTAAAATAATGTAATGATGATAAATATACTTACGAGGTTCTAAGAACTGCGCAAGGCACAGAGTTCCCAAGAACATCATTTGTTACAGCACATACATATCTTGCCTAGAAAATATAAATAACGCTAGGTAAACATAAAGTTTGCTGCAATTAAAAGAAATTGACATCTGTTTATATATTTTAAGTGCTCACATTAATTTGAGCTACACCCTTAATTAGAAAATGTACTAGGGATATCCTTAATACTAAAAGATGTTTCAATGGATTTCAATACTGTGTCTGCAAGCTTATAAATGTTGATGGTTTTTAGTAATTCTATCAATTTTCTTTGCCACAAACAACAGTAAATTGTATTTCTACCATTTCTAGTTTAAAGCTCTTTGGACGAAATTTTCAAAAGTTGATTTTATTGTCATCTGTCTATTATGAGAATTTAAAATACAGATGTGACGTCACCCTTTGATGTTGGCGTACCATTATTTCAAATAATCCTACGGGCAACTTGCCAATAGTACTTTATTCATACCAGTGAGATATTGGACTAGTGTGACGTAAAAGCTCGTGCGGAGTGTCAGTATTTTAAGATGTTTAATGGTCTCGAGCTTCCGACATTGCGTAATATATTGTAAAAACATTCGGGCCTACGGCCCTCATGTTGTTACAATATATTACTTAATGTCACGCTCTCGACCATTAAACAATACATAAATATAGGTGTACCCACGCCGTTATTGTGCCTATAAATCAAAAATATTAAAACAGGAATAGATGTTGGGTGTCATTAAATCTGATCTGGATCACACGGACACATTAGGAAAAAATGTCCAAGCTAATGATCTTTTCAATATTTGTAATATATCCATAAAAACAATGATTATTATTATTATTACCGTTTTGGCAATTAGTGATGTTTTTGAATCGCCATCTTTAATTGGAGTGAAATATACATCTATTAAATCCTTCAATTTGATTGGTTTCCCACTCATTGGACATCGTACCTTCTCATCCTATGCAAAGAAAACATAGATATTTATTATATTATAGATACAAAAAGTAACTTTCTCTTGTAAAAATATCCCAAAATTAAAACAGATAGATCATAGGGAAAAGGATTATACTGTCCACATTATATTTAAAGTCCCCAAGTGTGATTTGAGGATAAAGTAACTCTTGCAAACTACAATATTGTAATATCTTCTTTGATTGGCATTTAGTAATTGAACATTATTAACACAAGGTACAATTTTATGGATACACAATTACTGAGTTTAATAATAAGCGATGTTTCGACGAGGATACTCTCGTCTAAAGTATCCTCGTCGAAACGTCGCTTAGTATTAAACTCAGTAATTGTGTATCAGTATCCTCGTCTAAAGTATCCTCGTCGAAACGTCGCTTAGTATTAAACTCAGTAATTGTGTATCCATAAAATTGTACCTTGTGTTAATATTGTAATACTTGAGTATTTATAACAATCTGCAGAACTGAAATTCAATTTTGTAACAAGCCCACTGTCGTCTTTGTTTAGTGATTGATGGGCGGGTTTTAATGCAATTGAATCCCAGCCAGGAGGTTAACGTGTTATCTTGACTCATACTTTATGTCGACTCATTTATATTTTGTGCCCATTTATATAAATATTCCCAAATTCTCACTGGGACATTACAGTACACACATAGAGAGAGAGGGGAGGCTCTTTGGAATAGAGCCCTATACCTATAACATTTAAAGCAAATTTTGACTTTTAAATTATCAACTAGATATCACCAGATCAGAAATTAATTTTAAACTTACAGGTTTTTTAATTTTAGTTGGTTCTGCTGAAGGAGTTAAATTAGGAATCCAAAAACTAGGTAATTGTTTATCTTTACCATTTTTCATGTTACTTAGACTAGTTCCAGCATCATCTTTTACATCTATATAATAAAACTAAGAAATTTACAAGTTTGGCTAACAGTGATGGAAACTAGGTAATTGTTTATCTTTACCATTTTTCTGGTTACTTAGACTAGTTCCAGTCTAACAGTGATGTGTAAAATTTGGGTATACTCAATGTAGTGATACATTGTTTTGATTTGTTGGTGTACAACAAAAGTGGAAGTTTGAAAATATACTAGAATTAAATCCTTATACTGCATTTAGTAACTGAACATATGATATAAAACACAAATTTATATGGAAAACAATCACTGGGTTTATTTTACACTACGTTTCAACAAGTTCCTCTTGTCGTTATTTGATAACGACAAGAGGAACTTGTTGAAACGTATTGTGAAATAAACCCAGTGATTGTTTTCCATATAAATTTGTGTTATATTATATATCCTACTAGAATTATACACATTATGAAATTTAATTCTAAATTTATTCATTAATCGACATGGATCTATTTAATAAAAATAATTTACTTATTTTGTCAGCACCAATAGGATTAACTTCCCCATTAATAAATTTCTGTTTCTTTTTTTCTTCCTCTTCTGTAACTAAGCCTTGTTCTGCTTTCTAAAAATAAACCAGTTATATTCAGTGTATACAAAATACAGCTAAATATCAGTTAGCCAGGAGTATAGACATTTTTTCTGGTAATCACATAATGCATTCTTGGCTATCATACAATTTTAATACTTACTGACACTCAAATCAAAATTCAATTAAAGGATATGCACATTTAATTCAAGTTTATTCCAAACTAGAGAAGTGAGTCTTAAGTTTTAACTAGAGAAACCATTCATGTCAATGATGTCATACAGAATCCAAAATATACAAATTCATCATTTAAAAAGCACAACTATACCTCAAACTTAACTTTCTGTTTTTCAAAGGCTTTCAATTGTCGAGCGATTTCTCTCTTCTTGTGAATAATATACTCTAAAATAGCTTCTTTATCGTACAAGTATCCATCAGCCCTAAAACAAATTTAAATTTAAAATATTAATTAGTGGTATTACTCATTGAACAATACATCACAAGTTAGTGATCACATTGAATACTGATTTTACTGTTTGAACATTATAATTCATTATTCAAATGCTATCCGAACTATTTCAAATGATTAATTTCTGTACCCTTTTTGCATTTCCAGATATCTAGATAAGCTTACTGTAAACCTTTTATCCGTCTGTTTATTTTTGGACATTGATTGATTTCATTGAATTAGTAAATGTTTCATACATATAAAAAAAAAAGGATCAAATTCCATAAATTTTAATTGACATCAAATAACGAATAAATAGTAACAAAAATATTTCGAATAGGCTTGTAAAAATAATGGACATCAAATATTTGTGTGAGCACTTCCACAACCACAAGTATCAAAGTATCATATATATATATAATTTAGAAACATTAGAAAATGAAGTCTTCTTTTCTACAATGGAAATCAATTCCGTCTACTGACATTGGTCAATCTAAGACAGACGTTGTTGTTGTAAGCAATTACCCCCAACTTACGTGACAACAGGATTTTTACAGGGTTGTAATGTTAAACAGCAACAATCGAACTCCTGAAAAATTTTAAAAATATTTATTCATATCTTGATGCAATTAATTTTATCTCCACCATTAAAACATACATACTCTGGATATGTAGATCCATTATTCATAATATCTTTTGAAAAAAAAATCGAGAATCTACCCTACCATATACAATACAATCTCTTTGAAATTCCTTACATTACCTTGACAGAATCTTTACCAAATCTAACTTCTTTACTACCATAGCCTGAAGCTGATGTATCTTTCTTTCTTTCATTGTATGTGTAAACAGTTCCAGCAGTACAATTTCTAGCATGCCTAGTCATTCTGAATGTCTAGGATAAAAAATTAATGTTATTCTAATATTTAACAGGCTGAAATAAAAAGAAACAAAAATGTATAATCATCTCAATGATTATCATAACATTTAAATGGAATAAAAGGCAAATTAAATTATCGATTTACTTCAAAATCCAATAAAAACCTTTGAGAGCAAAGTGTCTGACTCTTTCCGAAAAATTGCGAATTCTCCTCTGTGTTCAAATGCTAAGTACCATCTCAATTACATGAAATCGTTAAAAATTACAAAATAAGAGCGCAGGTGTGATGCTGCAACTTCAGTCTCGATACTGGGCCTGTCGAGTCGATCATGGTTTTAAGGGTGTTGTGTACAGTGTTTGCAATGACAGCCGTAGAGCCGATATGTCCCCTGGCTTGAGGTTTGATTTTTCACATTGGCCTGTACAATAGGGGACCAAAAGTACGGCTGGTATATCTGAGTGCATCATCTGGCATGATATTGGCTTTTTGGCAACCAGATTGTTGTGCAAAACGTAAAACCTAGTTTCTGCGTTTTGGCAAAGTGATTTTGGGTTGCCATAAATATATTAAATAGACGCCAAATTGACGCTCAAGGCCATATATTTGTTAAAATTTTCCTTGCCATGAGGGTGAGCGAAGACCCCTGACATAAGACGCACAATTGTCAACACATATCATTACAGTTTGTATTAAATAAGTAATTCTATCACAAATAGTGAAGACTGGGCCACTAAAATAGTTACCGAACAATTTCTCTTTGTGGTAATGCGTTCTACATTTTCAAAGCGATGTTTCTTATAATGTGAAAGTCGCCATGACACCGGCCAGTTAAAATAAGTTCGGTAGTCAAGATATTTCGCATAGTAGTTGGGTTTCATATCATATAATTATGCGGTAAGGCTTCACCTTTATTTCAATAGGAATTGATTTATTATATATGTTAAGCTTTATGCAGTACAGTTTTGGGTCAGTTTATATGTAAATTAAGGGAGCTATAGGCCAGTGAGTAACCTTTTTGTAGTCATTTGACTAAAAAAAACTTGCGCAAAGAAACTCCGTAGGACGAGCCACTACTGTGGCTGGAGTAGAGCGGAAGACATCAGTAGTGGAACCATTTCTAGAAGACTCCCTCTCCGACCCACCGGTAACAGTGAACGCCGACGGCCCGTCCATAATCCACATTCCATGGCATTACCGAATACTGAATTTTATTATATATTTATATCATCAATATATGTCATGACAATATCGGCGAAATGCGAATAGATCTAATAAAATAAAAATATTTGGCCTAATAATAATATATTTTGAATCAGATAGATCTACTTTTATTAAAATAATGTATATATGTATATATCGTGAGTGATGACGACTCGGGCAAGAAAGTTCTGTCAATTTCTAAATGAAAAACATAGAGATAAAATTTACCAAAATTATAAGAAGTATTTACGGCCATTACAACAAAAGCGCTACCTAGATTCAAGTTCAGTAACTCTAACGTATCGTTTCCTGATTATCCAGAGCAATGTAGAGATTGTATTTAACCATGGACCGACCTTACATAAAAGAGAGAGAAATGGGGTTTAACGTCCACTCGACACAAACTAGGTCATTTCGGGACTAACACATGGTTCATTTTATTCAATAATTCGCTTGCGCGTAGGGGTCTTTAGCAGTGGGAGGAAAACCCACGAGGTTGGACAGACGACCCTACTCCTTGTCACGTACAACCGGGAAATCGAAACCCCGCCAGTTGACTCAATGACAGACCGTATGATGTACAGCGCGCGCGTGCTAATTCGGCCACCCCCCCCCCCACCCCGACCTTACATAAAGCCAATTTAAAGGTCCATGATTTAACGTGCTAGTTAAAGGAGGTAAACCTCTAACTGAGTATCAGCATGGACCTTATAATATCAGTAAGTCAATATAATACATAATATTCGAAATTAAAAACACGAATTGGAATTTGATTTTGGTCCATTTCATTCTAAATTGATGTTGTTATTGTAGGCCTACTGTGAAAATATGGGTTCGAGTAATTATACCGATATAATGGTTTCAAGCGCCATTTACAATGAAAAACGCAAAACATATCCCAGAAGACAACACTAATTCACAAATGACAATATAATAATGATAAAAATAAAACCCTAGTTAAATTTAGACTGTTCGCATACTGTTGGACTGTAAATGATCAGACATTATAACAATTTTTTAAAATTGCCAGGCAACGAAACATGCGCTCACAACAGCAAAGTCGTCTGAGCATTCCATTAAGGTTGTCACATTTTATGCTTTTGTTGGTAATGGGAGCATTTACAAGAAACCAACAAGGAAAGGTTTTTTTTATAATCAACATCAAGTAGATCATTAAGTTCATGTTGATCTAAAATAACCATTCCTAATTTTGTAAGTTATAGATCTAAAATGAGTGAAGGTTAGATGGAAAAGGGGAGTGAACTGAGTTTTGGGTTAATTGTTAACAGATTTAATATAATTTGATTATTTTCTTGAAAATCCAGTTGAAACAAAAATCATATTGGGGTGTGTGTAGGGGAGGGGGGTAGCCAGAATAGGGTTCTGGAGGCTGGTACCCAGGACAATTTATAAACTAATGAAGACATAGGCCTATTTGCAAATTATTGGCTTGGCTGAAGCCCTGGTAGCTGTAATGGAAAATGGAGTGAAAGCAATATTGTGAATCATTCGATGTAGTGTTGTCAGAAAAGATGTTTTGAGGTGTTTTTTTGAAGGAGTCAATTAAGGGATTGAGAATAGATGAAATCAAATGAAAGTGAATGGGATTTTAATGACCTTAAAAACACTGTGTATAATAAATTCCATCCACAACATTTTTCAAAGTCATCAAGGGCCATAACTCTAGTAATAATTATCAGAAATTGTCAACAAAAACAAGAAGGTTCTCCTCAGAACCATAAACACCATGTATAAATTTAAAACCAATCGGATGGTAACTTTGGTCTGTAGAGCATGAACAAGAATATTCAAAGGGGTAAAGGGCTTTAACTCTGGCAGTAATTTTCAGATATTGGCTTAAACACTGTGTATAAATCTGAAGTCAATCGGATGATAACTTGGGTCTGTAGTACATACACAAGATTTTTCAAAGAGGTTGAGGGCAACAACTCCGGCAGTAATTATCAAAACATTGAAAATGAATATTAACGTTAGCCTTCAGAGAGCGTCCAAAAGATTTTTCAAATTGATCAAGGTCCATAACTCTTCTGGCAGTAACTTTAGCCTATATAGTTCGCTTGTGGATGCCAGACGAATGGGGGTGATGCCAATATACAACCACATTTCAAAGTGAGCGTATAAAAAACCAAATTGGTATACTTATATCTCAGCTTCTGAACCAGTTTGGATCGCTATCTTGATGTCAGTGTCAAGGAATACAATTATTACCACCTAGAAAAGGCACCATTTCTTCCAAATTATTATGGTACCAGTAAAACCCTAAATTTACAAATATCTCGGCTTCTAAAGCACATGGAATTGCAGTCTTTGAGTCTAAACCTACATTTCAAGACTAAGGATAACAATTATAACTTGAATATCGATAGGGTTCCTCCTCTCATTACCCTAACGAAAATATGGGTGTATAAAAATTTCCTAGGAATTATGTAGGTGAAACCTACAGTCGCTCATCTTCGTGGTTCATTTACTTATCTAAATATTATTCATTAACTCATCAAACTCCACATAATCAAACCGATGAGTTGTGATACTTGGTCGATAACATAGGCATAAATATTACCATAATATGTTATTCTTCCACATAGAAATCTCTTTGCATCATATATAATTACAAAGAATAATGCCTGCTATTGTCCATCAAAGTGGATGGTCAATGCCAAAAAGTTCATTCAAATTTCCATAGGGCCTATCCATATAAATATTGATGCCAACCGTGCTCCTTTGGAAAGATTAAATAGTGTCTAGACATCTTTTATAATTTATTTAGACAAACAACATAACATGTACAAAATATGTTGAAGAATTTGTCATGATAAATGCTGAAGGAAGAGTTTATACAAACTACCAAGCAAACATTACTAAAACAACACTAACTGCACTTAATAGAGCTTTGGAAAATTCTTTACAAGTAGTTGCTGACTAGGTTTGTATTTGTATGAACTTCTTTGGTTTGTAAATCAGCCAACCTAAAATTGAAACAAATCACCACAACAAAAATCTGTCCTTTAGTCAACCTTGTTTCGAATAGTTGTCATTTACGCAAAACAAGATATTAGTAAAATTAGTCCAAAGAATTGGACACAATTTTTCTATAGTCATTGTCAGATATGTGCATATTGGAATCACTTACAAATCATATTTTGAGAAATTAATTTGGACCTAATAACAGTCAATACAAGTTCAAGCAGTTTCTTGTTTGTTGCAGGAGCTGTATAGTATTATTTAGAAGGTCATCATCAGCAAAGGTTTGTATAAGAAAGTTACAAATGGGTGTGCCCATATTCAATTATTTTCCCTTTTTTTTAATGGAGACAATGTGTTATGTGGGACTTTTTGCCCGGTGGTGGCGCTACAACCTACTGTTATCTCGAACACCAACTATCTAGGGTTCATGTACATGAATGCCAATAGGTACACAGGACCCACAGCAGTGGAGCTACAACCTTCTGTTATTTCGAATTACACTATCAAGGGTTTTTCTATATGAACCTAATCGGTTTTCCGTCTCGTCCGGTCAACAAGTTTTTGACCCTCAGTCCTGCACCACTGAAAAAGGGAAACCACACTGGAAAATCCTTAGGAATTTTTCGGCCAACACCGGTAGCCAAGAAATCTTGGTTAGCGGGCCAGTGCCTTACTCACTGAACCTCCATGGCTCCCAATATGGGAAATAGACAGTTACAAATGACACAATATACATTTAATTATAGAAACTTTAAAACCATGACATAACATATTATAATACAATCTGATATACTACTCAGAACTAAAAAATAGATATCGAATAGTGATATCAACAAAATGTATAGAGTATTCAAAACAATGAAAATAAGTTAAATACAAATTCTGTTTCTGTTAAAAATTAGAGATAGCTTAATTAAACTCAACAAGAAAATGACAATTTAAGGTGTCCATGTTTTAATTTATTAATTGAGCAGTCCCAGATGTATGTAATGAATAATAATGGTAAGTTCTGGGTGAAAGACCCTTAAGCGGTGGACACATTAGCCGAATCATTCATCCAAATGAGTGGACACAATAGGCGAATCCTTCGCCCGATTCACTAGTCGATTGCATCGCCTTTCACGTCACATGATTAAACATGGCAGCGACCAAGTCTTCGAACAATCACGTGACTTTTCGATATGAGTGGTGATTGGCTAATGAATTCTACAATCGGGCGGACACACTAGCGAATATATAAAACATGTTTGATTCGGGCGAATCATTTGGCCGAATGACAGTGGACACACTAGTCGAATTTTAACACTGACTGATTCGGTCGAATCATTTGGCTACTGTGGTCACCGCTTTACAAATCCTGAAGCACTGTCATACTTTTTCAAAAGATAGGTAGCCAGGCAACAAAACATACACCCACACCAGCTAAGTCGTCTGGGGAGTCAACAAGGGTTGTCGCCATAACCCTGGCAATAATTATCGTAAATCGTTGAAAATCAATAGGCTTCTTCGTCTCATGATCTTAAACACTGTGTATAAATTTAAAGTCAATCGAATATTAACTTTAGCCAGTAGAGCATCCACAAGCAATAGTGGACGCTGGACCGCTGGATGAGCCGGGCGACAACAGTATACGACCACACTTCAATATGGGCGATTCACAATACAAACTTTCATTTTTTCGTGTTGATCTGACAGTAAGTCACAAAATTCAACACTGTATGTGCCTGTATAACAAAATCAATATACTAGCAAAATTTATATTTGTGAATAATTGTCACGATTGTCAAGCCACTTATGTAATTGAACGAAATTCCTGAAATACGTTAATAACCCTTTAACCAAATCTGTCAATCATTTCCAAATGGCTTAATATTTTGATCAGATATTTTGGTGTGCCCTGTGAAATCTGGGACTGCCCCTTTAAAGTCATAATTTATGTTGCAATAACTAGCAGTAGAAATATATTCTTGGTCTTACCAAGGTTTATTTATGATATTCGTCATTAATATAAAAATAAAAATAATTAAAGCAGTACTTAATTAAAAACTGAAAATCAGCACAAAAATGTACGTAATTAAGACATGGAGATTCTAAATGGTAAAAATGTGAAGAAAAAAATGAATTTAAAAATTTGTTTTAACTTTAAGTTTTAATCCAATAATAAAAGAAAGTGATGGAATTACATTTTTGAGCAATCTTTAATCAACATGTATGCTCAGCATATAACATTGTTATGGAATTCAAATGTTGTATTTGACAAAGTATAAAACTTAAGAATAATAAAAATGCATGAGAATAATATAAAAACAAATTTTATGAGAAAGGCCAATAATTATTTATAGCAAGTCGTTACTGATAATTTAATAAATGAGTAAAATGACCCAACTATCCACCAAAATTTGCTATTATCAATTATTTAATTGGGAAATGTTCAACTGGTATAAATGTATAAGATTAGTATGCCCCAGCTATCAATACGGCAGATCTATCTACAAATTAAAATAACGTTATGAATAAAATAGTATAACAATACAAAAAAACAAATAATTTCTTCAATAATATTCAAATTGAACATATGCGTATACTGTATAATTGCTTTTTAAATAAATTAAAAATATTAGGCAAGACTAATAAATACAAAACTGCGAAACATACGAAACATACGTGCTAAACTGATTCATCTCTTAAAATCTGACACAAATGTTTAAAACTTAATTATTGTTAACTGGTCAACCTTGTATCGTCATCATATTGGTTTACTTACATCAATCGCATAATGTGCATCCCTCAAGTCTATCGCTAACAATTTTGATTCAATGGAGGTACTTGAATCACGAGAGTATCGCATGGTCTGAAAAAATATCTTAGGCTAGGAGTGGCCTCAACCTGAGAATTAAACAGGCATTATGCAAGAACTAAATCTGCCTAGTGCAGGTCTTTCTATAGGCTTGAAATGTTATATAAACTATTAATTAACGTGACAAAGCTATAATCAACTCTCGATGCCATCTGATGGGTCTGATTTTCCACAGATTTGAATTAATTTTGAATCTGATCTGAGGATTTCTCGGCTTAGAGTGAAGTAATTTGACTGAAATTTTCAGCATATCTCATTTACATTATCTATTTTTTAACTATTATAGCAGCTCTTTATTGTCAGCTCTTTATCTAATCTTCCATAATGTCACTTTAACCGATTTCAATCACTAGCTACTATACAATCACAATAGAGTATGTCAATTTGTATGATTCTGAATCATGTGGTACAGAACATTAACTCTTTTTAATTTGCAATTTTCAACAATTATGTACCAAATTACAAATTTGTTATAGACTAGATAATGCAGACAAGTAACTCAGTGAAGTCTATGGCTAATATTGCTCATACAAGATTTTACAATTTGATCATAATAAACCTGTCTAAAAGATTTAAGAACTGAATATCAATATTGTTAAAGCTCTTATGGTCTATTTACATTTCTTATATAATTATTGCAAAAACTTTCAGAAATCCTATATTGTAAACAATTACGAAATGCAAAACATTTTTTTTTCCTCTTAATTTTCAATGGTAATTATTTTGAGGTAGTATATTACTTTCGAGAGACAATACTAAGTTGTCAGTAAGTGTTGGCTACATCAATAATACTCTTAATCAAATACAAGAATTTCCTTATATTTTTTTTATTAAAATTTTTAATACAAAACAATCATGATCAAATTATTTAATAAAGATGTATAAAATATCAATGTCAATAAATTCTAGTAAGTTGGCAGAAAATATGATTTAAAACAAATATATGGACTGCTATCCTAATATCATTATTATTAGGATTTGGGTATAACGTACTTTTGAAAATTTGGCAAATTATCCTTTCAGTGTAAAATATTGCAACATTTTGTATATGAAGTGAATACACTTGTCAAAATTATATTTAACACCAGTATCTCAAATTAACATAGTTAATAAATTTACCAGTCTTAAAAGACATAATACAACATAATTTCAAAAATAGATTTGTATTCCATTTTAATATTACAGATCTGCCATTCATATTACAAAAGTCATTCATCAAAGTAATTTTATTTTACACTGATATTTTGATTTTAGGATTGATGTGGAAGAATATGTGCAGATCTGTCAACACTTTTATTATTTTTGTTCTTGTGAATATGACAGAATTTAATACTTTCCATTATCAAAGTAAATACTTTCTGCTGCGTAAATAACAGAAGAGAATGATAGCTGCCACCATAGCCAATATCTGAAAAAAGAAAATAAGTGATACACTGACCATAACTTAAAAAGATAGGTTGTTAGGCAATGAAACATATGCCCACAGCAGCCCACAGAGATTGTCACATATTTTTTTCTTTTGCAGGTAGTTTGAGAAATTATAAGACTCTAACTACTAATCAAGAGTAGCAACCCATGAATTTATTACGGAATAATTGCCAGTGGCTGACAGGCAAGATACGCCCACATTTTGCAAGCATAGGTGAACGGGCTGGATGACTGTTAGGGGGCGGAACTCTGAATGCCCGAAAAATTGACCACTGCAAGAGCATTTTTCCTGCTATTCTAGCCTGTGAATACAGCAACTTCCAAGTGGTCTAATAAGCCTAATGTAGGTGGCCGACTGAAATTCCAAACAACCAATCAATCGTTTACAGTTAACGAAAACGGGACCGTCAGGAGAAAATTTTAAAAATATTACGCGTTTTTCCTGCTATTCCAGCCCTTGAATACAGCAACTTCAATGTGGTCCAATATAGCCTACCTTAGGTGGCTGACCCGGTTCACAAACAAACAAACAATCGTCACAGGGTATGGAGAAAAGTTTGAAAATGCAACTGCCGCAAATGCGTTTTTCTGCTATTCTAGCCAGTGAGTTAAGTAACTCCAAGTTGTCCAATGGTTTTGTAACTGAAATCCCACTTAATGCCGTCCTGAATTCCAACCATTCAATCAAACTGTTGCAGCTGCATTCACAAAATTTTAAATAATGAAATAAATTACCTGTATTACAGCAACAGTAATCCCAACAACACCCAAAACATACATATTTCTTATAAACCAATACTCTATTTCTTCTAGACAACCCTGTAATATTAAATATAGATCTAAGCTAGATCAAAGACACAAATGAACAAATTTACTAGTAATCTAGTTAGTACCAATAAAATTAAGTGGTGTGTTTATCTAAAAGTGGACGAAGGAACAGCTACATTTTATCCATAGTACCTAGAAAATCTTTAATTTTAAAATATTGTAAACTCTGAAATTAATGAAAGTATGAATTTCTTGACTCAACCATTAGCCTAACTGAATTGAATGCTTTGTCTATACTAACTTACTCTACCATACAGTTTTTTTTAAATGTTTCATATGAACAAATTTTATTTAATGCAAATTGTTCATCACTCAATCTCTCTCCTTCATTGATCTGGGCCAAAATACAATTGCCGATCAAGCCAAATAAATACTTTATTTAGATCTAAAGCAAAGAGATTTAGCTCTTTAAAAATATGCCAGGAACCTGACTCTTGTTTATTAACCAACTTACTCTGTTATACCAATAAGATTTATCAAGTTGTCCACATAAATTCAAACTTCGAACACAGCAAGAATCAGGTACTCTTTCTTCATTCGGCCAAGCTGATACATAATACCAATCTGTATAATTATTTATACCACAGCAGTGAAGCTACAAAACAACATAAACATCTTTGTTTAATGTCAAACAAATCTTATTCGATAAATGCTTTATGACATCCGAATACCCGCTATATCTGTTATATTCATCAATATTTTCTTTACAAGACCCAAATTTTATTTTTAAATTAAAAGGATTGTTCATTATGGTCGCAACGAAGAACTCTGTAGGCATCCAGAATTTGTTTAATTGCAACTCACAGCGTTATCTCCCACTTTACATTCAATCATGTAAAATCTTTTGAACCCTAACAGTGAAGAGTTCATAATGCAATGTTAAAAAAAAACTTTATTAAAACTAACAAGACAAGATTTATATGCCATCAATTTATAAAGTACTGGTGGACATAGACAGACTTAGACAGTGAAGCATTAACTGACAAGCTTCGGACTATGTATATCAATATTACACATTATCAGTCATCATTACAATTTAGAAAGCAGAGCATATTGAATATTGTAAATTATGTAGATCGACTAATACATTACAATTGCAACACATTGAAAGAATAATACTATGTGGTTAACCTCTTTCTGTAGTGAATTCATGACATTTCTCCAGTTATCTTTATTTTGATCTTCAACTACTGGATGATAATCTTGTTGTATACTGATCAAAAACTCTTCCTTTAATACTTCTCTCATCTACAATTAATATAAATATAATAAATACTCAATACTATACTGTATTATTAATTCTAATTCAAATCAAATCAAATTTTCAGTCATTGTTCTAGTAAGGTTAGACACTTAACAGTTTACAGATGAGATCATAATTTATTTTGTAAATACTTGCTAGCAATTGCTGTACACTAAATCATTAAGTTTAATTAATTCAATCATAATGTATTTCTTAAATACTCGTTAGCAGATTTCTTTAATTTTGTTTACCTCATTTTGTTTGACAATACCAAGAGTTCCAGCTGTTACTTCCAGAGTAAATATAAGCAAAACTAACACAAAATACTGAAATAAAGGTAATATCTCTACTATCATCCAAGCAGAAAATATGAATCTACTGCATAGTGCATAGATTAAATAATAGAAGATTTCAAATAATATATGTATTTAGAGGCCCTGGTTTTGTTAGCTTAAACATTGTCAAGCCAAGACATCATGTGAGATCATATGTTTTTCATTCTGACAAAAAGGAATAAGGTTTTAATACATGTCTATGTTAACAAACCAACAATGAGGCTGATGTCCCCTGCACCAGTCACAAAATAAATAGATGACACTCATTCATTACATTTATCTTTTTATAAAACATTGAACAATCAATTGTTAATCACTCATAATCAAACTATAATGAAGCTATACACTCTGCTTATCTCAGCTCAGCTTAAGCAGAAAAGGCTCATCATCAACGTCAGTCAAGACATTCACACAATGAACATCTGAACCCAATTTTAAGATTCTACCTCGAATAGAAGAAGAGTTATTCTGTTCCAACTAGGTGAGTCGAACAAACAGACAGACAGATGCTTAGCCTAAGCAGAAACATGCATCAAGAAATTCACCCAATGAAAATCTACACAACATTTGAACATTCTAACTTACTTAAAAGCAGAGTTATTGTGTTCCAAATGTTGTGACATTTAACGTCCTACTGTTCTGCTCCGAACTGGACTAATGAAGACGGGCTACGCCATACAGTGTGCTATGAAGGAAATTTTGCTCGGACAGAAGCACTACGGCATACTCTTATATCGAATTCCAACTGTCAGGGGATCTTTTACGTGCATATCACGTGCAGGGATCAAACACCCGACCTCCAGGCTAGCGAGCCAGAGTCTTACCGACTTAGCCACCGTGACCCTCCCCTCCAAATGTTGTGACTGACAGGCTTAGACTATACAGACCAGCAGCTGCCAGGCAAAATACGCCCACATTTTGTAAGAGATGGATAGAGAACAAGCTTAAAAAAAAAAGGCGATTTTCCGTATAATCAGGGGCGATAATCCAGGAAGTTATGGTCTGAAATGCGCGAATATTGAAAAGGGTGGAGATATTTTGGATATAAAAATATATTTTAAGTTTCATCAAAATCTGATAAAAATTGTGACTTCTACTCTAGAGGGTCCACAAGCGAAAAATGTGATTTTTCAGACAATCAGGGGCCATAATCCAGGAAGTTATGGTCCGATATGTGCAAATATCTACAGGAACCAAGATCTTTGGATTATAATCATACATTTCAAGTTTCATCAAAATCAACCTTCATTGATGTGTAACAGTGATATATTTAAACGTTTTTTAAAATTGAATACAAATTGTGACTTTTAGTGGGTCCACAAGCTAAAAATGCGATTTTTCGAACAATCAGGGGCCATAATCCAGGAAGTTACTGACATGCACGAATATAGAAAGGAACCAAGATCTTTGGGTTTTAAACATGTATTTCAAGTTTCATCAAAATCGGATCAAAATTGTGACCTCTAGAGGATCCACAACCTTGTTATATCATATTTTTATACTATTGCGTACAAGGGGCAGCCATTTTGTCCGATTTTCACGAAATTTGATCCCAACCATCATTACGGTGTAACGGTGATATATTCGAACGGTTTTTGAAATCGGATAATAATTGTGACCTCTAGAGGGACCACAAGCTAAAAACGTGATTTTTCGTACAATAAGGGGACATAATTCAGAAGTTCAGATCCGACTTGCGCAAATATCAAAAGGAACCAAAGTCTTTGGGTTATAAGCATATATTTAAAGTTTCATGACGATCAGATGGAAATTGTGACCTCTAGAGTGTCCACAAGCTAAAAACATGATTTTTTGTACAATCAGGGGTCATAATCCATGAAGTTTCGATCCGATACACGCCAGTATGCCAGGAACCGAGATCTTTCTGAGATAAACCTATATTTCAAGTTTCGTTAAAATCAGATAAGAATTGTGACCTGTAGAGTGTCCACAAACAAATTGTTGACGGAAGGACAGGGGCAACGACAATATACGTCCACGTGAAAATGTGGACGTATAAAAGTGCTCATCACTGAACTCAGTCAAGATAAATGGACAGACAGTTGAATTCATTTTAAAAGTCCTCTGCTTTCTTTGAAAATAAAAGAAAACCTTACCCCTATCAGCATACACTGATTTTCAAGAAATGCCCCACAACAGCCGAGAAATCCAACAATGAGTATAATACAGCCTGCTGTTATACATAGACTAGATGCACTTAGAAAACTGTATGCTGGTACTAAGGACATGTAAGGTCCACGATTTACATGAAGCCATACTCCCAGAGATAATACACCACATCCTAAAAACTAAGAAATATAACAAATATCAGCAACAATAATACCACCATAGATCGTAGACATCATGTGGCACTGTCTTTATTTGACCATATTCCATCGTTTATGTTTATATCATCTGCAGAGGATGCTGAATGTTGACAAATTATCAAACTCAAAGGGTCATTTTTAGACTGATATACCTTTAAGAGATTCAACATTTAAAGATAGGTTCCCAGAAAAGTATTTGTCCGGTGGTTATTTCCAATAAAAGTATGGCAATTTTGGTATATATGGAAGGTAGAGATATCCAATCTTACTAGAAAAATACTGGAGTCCCTGAAAAACACTCATGGAGCGTATACAGGACAAAAATGTAAGGGTTCCCCTAATCGACAGCCCGATGGTTATGAATACCTGCACGCGTGTATTGAAGGTCGCACGCGAAGTCTGAGCGCTTGATGTACATGTTGATAAACTTTATGAAGAGTTAGACGTACAACACTTTCTGAGATAAAAATCACGGAAAAAGACGCGGGAAGTGGATAATCCGAGAATTTAATTAGGATTCGATATTTGTAATAAATAGTCAGCGATCAAAGACAACATCGTCTTGTGTATACAATGAATTCTCCTCCGACTTCGCCCCTGTTGCTGTAGGTACCGAGAGAGGTAAGTCACGTGACACAAACATGACCTCTTTTGATCAATTTTTATAGCAGGGTATTCCTTGGCATTTACAATGTTTTGAAGCAAAATTATGATAAATTAATGAATTTGAATATGTTTTTAGTCCAAATATATCATCAAATCACCCAGTTTGTACACAGGAATGTATCTTTAAGTAGTTTGCAAGGGATTAAATGACCTTCAAATGATGAACAGACTTTAAATAATATATGGAAAAAAAAACAGAAGCAAGCCTCTATCCTTACCCAAATGAAGACATTGAAGCCAAAAAATATATATTTTACAATACAAAAACTAAGCTTCTCTCCTCTCCCCATGACATTAGGTGGCTGACCTTTTGGATGTCTGAAACCAAGAGAAATGATTGAATTCATTTCCATGTAATGAAACTAACAATTTTTAAAAACATGCTGTACATTGCATAAAGTTAGAATTAGCTTATATAGTTTACATATATTTCAATTTAGTATCTGAATTTGATGATTCATTTTGATGAGCCATTGAAATTTTGTTTTGGTAGGCCTGAGATAATGATTGACAATAATAATGTAGAATTGAGATAAGGTGATAAAATGGCAGTTTAAACTAAATATTTCACTGATACATCGACACACACAAAATTTGTGATTTTCATACAAATTCAAACATATAAAATAAAATGTCCATATATGTCTGGGTCTCTGTGTATACAAACTGTGTACATGAAATATTGGATGGCGTTAAATACAAGACAGTGAAGACTGTTCTAGATAGGGAGTATGTGTATTTTGTTATCAACAGGCTTGTTAGTTTAGTTTGTATGTCCTATTGAATAAAATGAGTGTGTCAACTTTGTCATTCTAAATGCTTATTTACATGGTGGGTATACAAAGAATTGCTAACGGTCAAATATATACTAACAGGTAGCCGACACTGAATGTAGTTAATACTAAACACAGTCATTAGTCAAGACATACTTTGTTTAGCTATATTTTATATAAAAAGCCCCAGTTTTCATTGGGATAAGTTACGCAGATATAACATCAAAGCTGCTGTGGCACATTTATAATTTCTTTATAAAAATTATGCATCTAAAAAAGACTTAAGAGTAAATGTAGAAAATAGGCTAAAAACAATTTTTGTGTGTTTACTTAGTGTTGCTAGTTATTAAACAAAAGTCATCCATGGATTGTCTGTCTCTGAAATGAAGGACTCGCTAAAATCATGACCACACGATTCCTGCAGTCCTGTGAGAGAGATAATTTTTTTAATGGCGTTGCCAGAATCACGGCCATACTCTTTAACCTTATAACAATGGTTTCTATTTCTAGTGCTTTGAAGGTGACGTTTTCAGCTTAATTGGCACTGGTGTTTCAGTATCTCCAAAACTTCATGATGACGATTCAGCAGATCTACAAATTTGCATGCGTCGATGATCTTGTTGGAGGTATCAGACATCAGATGGCTTATTATGAAACATGTCGACCAGGAGAGCATCAGTCTGAAAGTTTTGTCCTTGTTTCGTGAAAAGGGAGAAATCTTCCCATTAAATCCTGTGAAGTCATCCCCAATATTTGACCCTGTATGTAGAACGATGTATTTCTTAACATACATGTAGGCCTATGCATTGCTACAGTAGGCCCTAGTCGGGAGGGGTAATGTTGAAAAGCTAAATGACAAGTCCTTTGCAGAATTATATGCCTTTCAATTTCATCATCCAATAAATTGGTGCAAACTTGTGCACTGTATCCTATTGTTGGCGACATATTATTATTCACAAGACAGATTACTGACCAACGACTATTAAAGAAGCTGAAAGAAGCTGGAAGATGCCTGGATAGGTCATATATTTGGGACAAGGGACAAGGCCTAGTCGCGCACAAAAGACATATTGGCTCATGGCTGCACAGCACGACTATTAACTTATATAAAATTTAATGTGTAGCCCGCAGTGTAGGCCTATTGTGTCTATAAATATACAGTTGCCTAAATATATTTAAATATAAATATTCAGGTTTAACGGTACTACTCGGCTACAGAAAATGAATTAAGTTTACTAGTTCTTTCTGAGAATGGAACTGAAAATGGAACCAGAAAAAAAACCTACTCCACAGTCCACTGCTGTGCAGACTGACTTGACAAAACACCATATTATTATATTATCAAAACCTCTGAGATTTTGTCTAATTTAAATTTATTACACCTACCAAAAATATAGCAACACAACTACTTCAAATAGCAAATAGTGACAAATTTGTCAATGCAAACACTTGACTTCAACAACAAATTTCATAGCTAAGCCAGCCATATTGGATATTATGATTTATGATGAAAGGTTAAAGTTCGCAGGTTGAGAGTTCAAACAATGTCGACTTCCTGTGTCAACAAAAACAAACGTGCACGTGACAAGTGTCAAATAAACCCCATTAAATTAATAATTAAGAGAAATATTTACCCTCCGCCCTGTTGAAGATTGGCTTGATATCTAGGATCATCAATCGCCGTCATTTTTCTAGTTATTAACTTTCATTGATGTATTCTTTCTTCGAAGCAGTTCACGTTTCTTTGTGTCGCCTGTGTTAGGTTAACTTCTCTTAGGTACGTAGGGTAGGGCTATCGTTGTTCTTGGAAGTTCTAGGTAGGCCTTTATGGTGAATTTTTATTTATTTACTGAAAATAAATGAGTTATTAAAAGGCTAATCTTGACTGAATTGATTAAATAGAAATCTGATATAGTATATGTCGGGAATTTAAAGGAGGCAAGTCTAAATTTAACCCATAATGTCATCCACGTCTTCGACATTGCAAACACGCACACGACTAGTCATTCACATTGGTCAGTTTAAATCAACATTGATGTTTTTATCTTACCGTGTAAGGATGGGCTTTTGATATCCAATATTTAAGACATTGAAATGAAATTTTAAAATTGGCACACGAATCGCGTGTTAGATTGCTTTCGAGCGCCATTTGTAATGAAGCGACTCGATGAACGAGGCTAAACATATCCCATAACCAGACGCAAAGACTGCCATTCAATTTGGACTCTTCGCGTATTTCACCGAACATAACTGATTAGAAATTACAGTAAAAACAGAAACGACTGAATGTAAATCAGTTTACATACATGTACATTCATATTAATACATTTTTGTATGTCGCGACCAATTTGTGTCCATTTCTAGGTGCCACAGAATAGCGATTTAGCTCCTTTAAAGTAAACAAGGAAGCAGAATAACGAGAGTAGAAGCTCCTATAGGCTAATAACTTTCTAATTATCTTGACTGCTCCATTATTTTTTTTAGGGGTTACTATTATAAATAACACATTTTTAAACCACGTAAAGGAAAATGTCCATTACAAATTAGGTACGTATAGCGCTTCAATGAAGCAATAAAATGTATTATTTCATGCAAAATACGGACGTAGTAACTAAGGTTAAATTTGGCGCGAAAATTTCACGGGCTTCATGGATTTGACTAACAAACATACGGGATGCATTTCCGTGAGTGATTAAGCTGTCCAATGAATGGGCCTCCAGTCCAAAAAAATGTTCCCGTTTGACTCCAGTGCTAGGGCCCCCAGTCCAGTGCTAAAGTAGCTAAGTCTCTAACTCAATATCATAAGTATCTAACTCAACACGAATTATTTGTCAATTTAAATCAACATTGATGTTTTGATCTTACCGGGAAAAGATAGGCGTCTGATACCCAATATTTAAGACAAAATAAACATTTTAACATTGGTACACGAATCGTGTACCATAATGCGTTTCAGTGCCATTTGTAATACGGGATTCGAAGAACAAGGCTAGACATATTCCACAGGTCATGTCAAACGGCGATGCCATATTCTTATCTGGAGAGCATGTGTAATAAATACTATCGGTATAGACTGGAATAACCAGACGCTAGAGAATGCCATTCGATTGAGACTTCTGGTGTATTTCGCCGAACATAACTGATTTGAAATTAGAGTAAAAACGGAAACGATTGAATGTAAATCTGCTTATATACATTCATATTACAGCATTATATGCATTGCGACTGAATTCGGCGTCAGGCTATTCGTTAGCGTCCGTTATGATGGAAACCTGCTGTTGATATCAACGTTCCCCAATTTATGTGCTATCAGGATTTACCAGCCCCCCCCCCCCCTGATCAATTTATTTAAAGATACATTAGTTAAGAGTTTAATAAAGAGTTGGCCATTCTTGCTATAATAATTTAAAAATAGATGATAAAAAATGAAAATTTCATTCAAATTACTTCATTCTCAGCCAAGTTATTATTGTTTGTAGTTTTGACAAGATGTGTGCATAGTGGTAACCTGGGTACTGGTATACATGTATTCGGGACTTAGCCTCGCTTTCCTATTTTTAAATTAAATTTTTAAATGGCGAACCGTTTTAATCTAGTTAAAATCTCGAGTATCCAATGCCATCAAGGGTTGATTATGGTCTTGTTTTGTTAATAAATGTCTAATTAATAGTTTATATAACATTTCAGGTCTAAAAAAGACCTGCAATAGGCAGATTTAGCTCTTGCAGTGTGTATCATTAATATTATATGTACGTTTGTTTATTACTTGCAATATCTATGTATATATCTTGTACGTGGATTTGCTTAGGTGTATGCCATCCTCGTGAACCTGTTATTAGCTATGGAGGTGATCAAACTGTAGAAGAGAGCGTTCTGTTTCCGCTCTAGTGTGAATTGCGAAGCACCTGCGTTCCCCTAAGAGTCCACCAGTAAATAATATTTCAAAAATATTAATTTTTACAGAGCTAAGAACAATTAAAATTCAAACATTTGCTTTGCTTAATTCCTTTTAAACAAATTTATCCAAAAATTGAAATAACTTTTCACTTGTTCTCTAGAGGCCCCTTCTGCAGCCCCTAAAATCCTATGATGCCATGGATGATATTAGTCTCGAGACAGTCAACATTTTTGCAAGTCGGAAAGCTTGAAAGAAACTTATGTGAATATTAATGTTGCATATATACATTGTCTCATAATTAGTGGTGTCGTATTGTACGGATATTAGTCTAGTTGGTGCAAAAGGAGAGGGCGTTAAACCCAACCTCGTTTGTTTTTCGACAGATTTGGACAACGAAATCATCGGTTCCAGTTTGTATCTAAATCTACGATGATTTAATTTTCAAACTTTTCTGGGGGACGGCACAAGGAGTCGCCTCCGTTGGCCGATCCCTTAATCCGCCCCTGTGTAGTTGGAATTTGTATTATGGATAAGTGAAATTGACAAAGAAAAAAAAGAACAAATAAAAACCACTCTGTCAAAATTTCAATTATCCTTATTTTTCTTTTATTTTTTATGAAATTATTTAAATTTTGGATATGATATGAAGAATGTGCACTAGAACACACCTTTCCTTGTCGTTCACCTATTGCAAAAATTTGAATGGTATTGACAAAAGAAACGTTGCCGGTAATTGGTAATTAGGACCGGTGCCGTAGTCCTATATTAGAGTTGATACTTCATTTATGCTTGATAACGACACGAAAACACTTGTACCGGTAACGTCGAATATATGTACAAACCAGATACCCTTACGCTGCGATCTTGACAAATCTTCACGCTTCTTGTCCAACAAGTAAATATGTAAATTCAACTGATATTTCTGGATTTCTGTTGAAAGTAACAACACCAATAGACAGTTGGGTTGCAGAAAAGATTTCTAGCGTTGTGTTTTACAAGGACAAATTATCCAAACATCGATAATACAATTCTCGACTGTTAGGGACTATTAATTTATATGGTTTCTCATTAGTTCCAATAAGGACGGCGAATCCGTGTCTATCATTGGGCTACATGGGTATTGTTTAATTTGTTAGAAATAAATAACTCAACGATAACGAATCTGAACAGATGAAAAGTGTGAACAAAATACAAAGTTTCGGGCAAAGACTGTGCTTTAATACCGATTTTATTAGGGGTTTTTTAAATAAAGATCTAACACATTTAAAGCTCACAACACCACCAATCGAGGGCGTGTATTGTCTTCAACAACATTTTAAAAACTATCCATCTATTTATACGTCAACTACAGACTTCTTACGTTGTAAAATAGGACAGGTTTAATACAGTTCTATCCGACCACTTGTGAACAGAGAGGAATAATTTAGTTTTTACGGCGTTTGTAAAGAGAATTAAATATATATACCGGTACTTACCGTTATAACTGACAAATCCATATTATTTTCTATATAATATATACAACATGCAGCGTGAGAAAAGTATTTGGTTCAAAATGGCGACTTAAGTGCCTGCTGGTGGGAGAAGTTTCCTGTTACAAATCAGAGTAAGGCTATCTAATTTCAGAAATATGTTTGGCCGTCTACTCACTGTAGTCCAACGGCCCGTTGTTAAATGAAAGAAATCTGTCAGCACGTGTATAAACAATGGAGTCAGTTTATAATAATGTAAACACGTCGCTACCTTCAAGCTACCGTCATTCGTTTACAGAACCGAGTGAGTTAATTTGCTTTGAACCTGTACTGACATTCTTTCAATCTTTATTTTAAAAAAATACTGAAAACAGTCCGATAAACAAATTCGGATTGATTGAAATTAAAAAAAAACCCAAATCATGTGATCGACCGCGCCCACTTCAAATATTTTTGTAAAAATATGTTTGCATAATATCAGCCAGATGAAATACGCATTAATTTTGGTAATGTGCATATATTATTATACAAAATATTGGCTAAAGATACATTATGTAAGATTTAGATAAAGAGCTGGCCTTTCTTGCTATAACAGTTCAAAAATAGATAATGCAAAATGAATAGTGAATATTTCATTCAGAGTACTCTATTTGTAGTTTTGACAAGATGCGTGCATTGATTGTTTATTATCGTAACCATAATACTGGTATATTCGAGGTTTAGCCCCGCTTCACCATTTTTAAATTAAATCATTAAATGGCCGAACCGTTCTAATCTAGTTAAAATTTCGAGCATCCGATGGCATCGAGTTGATGGTCTTGTCTTGTTAATAAATGTCTAATTAATAATTAATATAACATTTAAGGCCTAAAGAAAGACCTGCAACAGGCAAATAAATATAGCTCTTGAATAGTGAATCTTTAAAGGGGGTATACACACTTTCTGTCGATTGAGGGATTTGAATTGGAAAAGTTTGATCTCTGAAGGAATTTCAGTCCAAAAATGCTTCAATTAAATTACGTGTAATATTTACAAAGATGTGATAAAATAATTTGTAATTTTGGCAATATTCGGCATCCACTGCAGATATAGCATATGCCATATATATATATATACAGCCAATGAAATGAAATGAAATGAAATGGGGCTTAACGTCCTACTACTGCTGTTCTGTTTCGCCATACAGTCAAAACCATGCAGTCAGCTCCATCTATAATTTTCTCTGAAATCTTATTACTATCGATTTTGTTTTATTAATTATTAAATAATCAATTTGCATACATTTTAGCATAGATTAAGATGGTAAAATTTGATATTTTCCGAAAAATGCAAAAGACGCAAAGAGACTTTAATTTTGAACATTATAATAAAATAACTATAAAATTATCGGAACCTTTTAAATTTCTTTTATTAATAGCTCAGTAAGAAGCTGGGGATCGCGGATTTGCTCCTGGTGTTGGCCGAGAACCTCCTTGTCAGTATTTAAATTTTGAAGTTTGAAGAATATGGATATCTATAACCATAGAAATAGAACCCCAACTAGTTATGGACAGGGCCTTTAAGGTTATATTGGCGAAGCACGGTTTCTGGTGTTTTGGGTTCCTTGAAAATTTCCAGAATTTGACTTTCGATAACACGATATCACACTTACACTTTAATAACCAAAATATAACAGAATTAACATATTTATATTTATAACCGTGTGTCAGTATAATTAACAGTCCAAAAAACATCCATAGTCGCTCCAAAGGCAAACGAACCTTCACTTTCACCTGACGATGTTCTGCTATAGTCTGGCAGCAGGTCGACAGACCTGGAAATATAGTCCACCTGATGTTTTTTGATGGATTATATTATATCTTCATTATGTGTAGATTCAGAGACCGGATGATGCCACCCTGGCACCCTTGGCGGAAATTTAAATATTCAAGATGGCCGCCATGGGGCATATCCTGGTTATTTAGTGGATAACATGTGTGACAGGTTCTCTCGGACCTCGGTTTGAAGATGGTTTCTATAAGAATTCAACCCGCTGAATCCAACGAGCTTGGGTATTCCTCCTCAAAGTGACAGCTAATTCCTCTAGGGGGGGGGGGGGGGCAAATTCAATATAGAGGCTCATTTTGGCGGAAACTTATAACATTCCCTAAAAAGGTGTGTAATATATTTAAATATAGGTTGTCGGTGGATTATATATCTCCAATATGTGTAGATGCAGAATCCGGATGATGCCACCCTAGCACCCTTGTGGAAATTTAAATATTCAAGATGGGCGTCATGAGGCATTTTCTGGTTATCTCGGTATAAAGGTGGTTTCTAGAAGAATTTCACCCGCTGAATCCAATGAGCTTGGTTATTCCTCCTAAAAGTCAGGCTAATTCCGTTAGGGGCCCCAATTTACAATAGCGGCTCATTTCGGAGGGAAACTCTAAATGTTCCCTAAAAAGATGTGTAATGTATTGAAATATATAGGTTTTCGTAGAAAATTACTTCAGATATAAACATAAAAACATGTTCCGATCAAAAGATATTCCATCCCGGGGATATTCTTATAAGGATACAAATTATACACGGTCAAACACAGTCAAATATCGGGCCATCGTGAGTTAAAAGCAAATGTTTCTAAAAGATAACTGGTGCTCACATATTTGTCTTGCCCCATTATTACCTCACGTATTTGTCTAATTCACCCTCGCTTGAATCACTCGGATACTCGCAATCGGTTGAAGTCTGATTCTTCCCTTTTCTATGGTGGCTGAAAGCGTCCATTTAGATCGGCGAGTTTCTAGATACAACGCGAGAGTCGCCGTTAAGCCACGCGACGGAAAAGTCGGCGACTTTTTCGTCGCTCTTGCTTAACGGCGACTCTCGCCTCGGAAGTTTATAGTTAGTTACATGCGCAATGGCTACATTTTACGCACACAGATCACCAAATATTTCTACGCTGTCACCCACCAATGTAGGGCGAAAGTTATTTTTAGTCTTTCTCGCCCTTTTCCCTTTTCCCCCTTTTGCATGGCGATTTTTGGTGTAGAATCGAAGAAAGGGGTTTGAAAATACATTTTCTGCCAGGTTTTGGTGAATATTCATGATTTTGAGAGGTCGGTTAGGTTGAAATGTAGGGCCGAAAATTGCATGTTTTTATGTCTCTACTTCCAGCTTGTGTATTTCAAGTTTTTCATGGTGAACCTCATACATGCTTTTGTGCAAGAGTTTGCCACATGTTGCTCCATCTGTGGCAAAAAGCGTTCTACCAACGAAAATTTGGGAAAAACTTAGAGCCGGTCTAAGATACGAGAATTAACATTAAATCAATGGGGAAATATTTAGTGATATAAAGACGTGTACATTTTAAATCTAATTCCAGTGTAACTAAACAGGTTTTGAAAGTACACGTGTCTGTAACACTCATAAATTTTAATTTGCCCTAGTGTCACTGAAAATGTTGATATAGCTCGACAGCCCAAACTCATCCAAAATCTCCTCCATTCTGATTTTATATACAAGAAGTAAAATGTAGCCATTGAGCATGTAACTAACTATAAACTTCCGAGGCGAGAGTCGCCGTTAAGCCACGCGACGAAAAAGTCGATTTTAACGGCGACTCTCGCGTTGTATCTAGAAACCCGCCGATCTAAATGGACGCTTTCAGCCACCATACTTTTCATCCGTATCATGCAACGGGGTGAACTTTTTCTTGATACTTATTAGATCACTCATGCGCGCCAGTAAAGCTGGGGGTTTGTATCACGCTGGCGAACATTTTCCATCTCTTATTCCCCTCTGTTTTCTAGGAGAGAAGGTGACACGGACGGGTGTCATAGTGGAACATAATGTATGTTTGATAATTCGCTCTCCGTACTTCTGTACGCATGGCCATGTAGGCCTAATTTGTCCTTGATCATTACTATTTTCTTCCTTTGTCTACTAAACTTAGTCATTTTGTTTAATTTGGAAACCATATTGGCGTTTCGTTCGGCCATGGCACTTTTCGCCATTCAGATATGAATTTGGCGAACCCGAAAACCAATAGTTTAATACATTACTAACATCATTATAATTCGCTCTCCGTAGCTTCTGTACGCATGGCCATGTAATTTGTCCTTGATCATTACTATTTCTTCCTTTGTCTACTAAACTTAGTCATTTTGTTTAATTTGGGAACCATATTGGCGTTTCGTTTGCCATGGCACATTTCGCCATTCAGATATGAATTTGGCGAACCCGAAATTGGCGGAAAACCAATAGTTTAATACATTACTAACATCATTATAATATATGGCCACCATTAAATTTGAATATGAGCTCAGCCTGGAATACCTTTTGGTCGGAACATGTTTTTATGTTTATATATGAAGTAATTGACAACGAAAAATTTTTTTTCAATACATTGCACATTAGGGAACTTTAAGAGTTTCCGTCCAAAATGAGCCTCCATTTTGAATTTGGCCCGCTAGCGGAATTAGCCATCACTTTTAGGGCTCATTGGATTCACCGGGAAAAAATCTTATAGAAATCACCTTCATACCGAGGTCCGACAGAATATTTCATGAATTTTACCCCACTAAATTAAAGTTATAACCAGAAAATTAGTCTCAGTCGCCCAGAGCCTCCTAGTATTCAACTTATTCGTATAATATAGAGACTACCAGAAATACCCCATGTCGGCCATCTTGGATATTTAAATTTTTCCAAAGGTGCCAGGGTCGCATCATCCAGATTCTGAATCAACACATATATTGAAGATATATTAGTATCCACCCAAAACCCACATTTCAATAAATTACACACCTTTTTAGGCAATTTTATGAGTTTCTCTCCAAAATGAGTCTCAGTTTTGAATTTAGCCCCCCCCCCCCGCCCCGCCCCTCTAGCGGAATTGGCTGTCACCTTTAGGAGGAACACCCAAGCTCATTGGATTCAGCTGGTCGAATCCTAATAGAAACCTCTTCAATCCGAGGTTCGAGAGAATCTGTCACAGATTTTATCCCACTAAATAACCAGAAAATGCCTCATGACGGCCATCTTGAATATTTAAATTTGCACACAAGGGTGCTAGGGTGGCGTCATCCGGATTCTAAATCTACACATATTTAAGATATCCACGAAAAAACATCAGGTGGACTATACCTCCACATCTTGGCTTAAACAGGGTTTGGCTGCCGGACTGGGAATACCTTAAAAATACAAAACTTTTGAAACAGAAATCGAAAGTAGTCGTTGATCATAATGATAGCCAAATATCCTCATACAATCT